AATTGTAACTGTTCTTCACTGAGGGTTTTCTCTGTGCCACCACTATTCTAATGACAAGCCCATGAGGCAGGCACTGTTGCTGTCTCTACTTTAGAGATGAGGATCCCGGGAGGTTAAAGGTCCTCATCAGAGGGGGTCCCTGAAGAGAGGCTAGATTGGGGGGGGATTGGAGAAAAACAGTCTTCTGGAGAGGATGCCTCTATTGCACTCAGGAATGCACTGCTGCTGTAGTTGGCTGTAGAAGATCAAGACGGTCAACATTCCAGTATGGAGCGGGGGCGGGGCTTACTCCTGAGTGAGGCGCACTGGCCAGTTGATAGCTTTGGGAGGAGAGAGAGTTAGTCTTATTGACGAGTGTAGCCCCTGGTAGGTCAGTCAAGCTCCAGAGGATGGAGTACAAATTGGACTGGTGGGTTATTTGAAAGAGAGAGAGAGAAGGCAAGAAGTTTGAAGGGGGTTGCAAAGTGGGGAATGGATCCAGAAAGAGTCAGGCGGAGGATTGAGGGTGTGAATATGATTAAAGTACAACTGCATGCATGAAATTCTTAGAAATACAAATTCTAGCTGGACAGTGGTGGCATACGCCTTTAACTCCAGCACTCGGGAGGCAGAGGCAGGTGGATCTCTGTGAGTTTGAGCTAGCCTGGTCTACAGAGCGAGTTCCAAGATGGGCCCCAAAGCTACACAGAGAAACTCTATCTCAAAACCCCCTACCTCCCCCCCCCCCAAAAAAAAGACTAAAAATTCTGATTATTTTTTTTTAATAGACTTTTCTTGCGGCTTCCCAGGAAGGAGGGAAGCCAGGACTTCAACACAAGCAGCCAGGCCTCAGAGATCCACTAGGGCGATCAGCCCACTGCTGCACCAGCGTGGGCTGGGGTGGGCACCGCTATGATGAACATGTGCAGGAGAGATGGGAGAGAAAGAGAAGCGGGACAGTGTGTGCACTCTGAAGACAGGCAGAACTGGAGACTCAAAGGCGATAAGGGACAGCCTGATGTGAGAGGCCTGCCCTCCCACCTGAGGCCACGGTGACATCTGGACAGACCCATAATGCTGCTGAGGACAATGTCTGGGTCCATGACCTTTCTGCAGCAGCTGATTGTGTCAAGGTCCATGGCCCATGTCACCACCTCATATCATGTGACCTCCTTAGTTTGGGCTGCCATCTAAGGCCGTGTTGATGTCTGAGTACTGCATTGAGCTAGACCAAGCCCTCACCAGCCACGGTATGGTGGTGCCAGAGGTGATGTGGATGCAAGAGAGCTGGTGATGCAGGAGAGCTGGCCTGCCCCTGTCAGCGGAGGCACTAGGGAGAGCTGGCCCTGCCCCTCACCTGGGCAGCATGGGAGAGCTGGGTGTGGGTGTGGGAAAGCAGGCCCCATGACAGGGTATGGGAGAGCAACCCCACCCCTCACCTGGGCAGGGTGAGAGAGCTGGCCCCTGGGGGTGTGGACACGGGAGAGCTGGCCGGTTGACCAACTCAGCTGCCACCCAGGCCCAGATCCAGGGCTTTTATCTGGCCCACCCCAACACCTACCCCATCTGTGAGCTGCTGGGGTGTGTGAATGGGCCTGTCCTGTAAAACCAAAGCAGCAGGATCTCCATGACTCAGGGAAACAGCAGGATATCTGAGAGGCGTCTCGTTGAGGGTCCAGTATTGATGCTATAGCAGAAGCCAGAGGACTCAAACCAGACCTATACTCATTATAATGAACATTTGCAAGTAAACTGGTTGGAAAAAGGGTAGACTGTGTGACACACTGTGACACACCACAGCTTCCACAGAGAGACTGTTTTTTTCCATTTTCTTTTGGTGGGAAGTTACAAGGGTGGAGGGCAGATGTGGAATGACGGGAATGGTTGGGATTGGGGTGCACGATGTGAAATTCACAAAGAATCAATTAAAAAAAATCATGGGGAAAAAAAGACTGTGTTTCTCAGGGGTGACCCCCGGAGGTGGGCCTGTTGATGGCCCCTTGCGATTTGTTCTGGTGTCACAGTTCAAAAGACAAAACCTATCTTTCTTGAAAAATCATCCCTGGTTATCTTGATATGGTCAAGAAAAACAAACTTGAACTTCTGGCTCAAGAATGGGCATGTAGGCCGGGCGGTGGTGGCGCACGCCTTTAATCCCAGCACTCGGGAGGCAGAGCCAGGCGGATCTCTGTTGAGTTCGAGGCCAGCCTGGGCTACCAAGTGAGTTCCAGGAAAGGTGCAAAGCTACACAGAGAAACCCTGTCTCGAAAAACCAAAAAAAAAAAAAAAAAAAAAAAAAAAAAAAAAAAAAAGAATGGGCATGTAATCTGACCAAATTAGCAACAGTCAGACCCATCCTCTACTTACTGATTGGTCCACAGAAGCATGTGACTCAAGATAGACCAATCAGAGACAGTCCTGGGACTTGGACTCATGAGCTGGGGAAGAGATAAACTTTTTCCAGCCTAGGCGGCTAAGTGCTAAGGTTTAAAGCCGGGATTCCTTTGGACTGTCTTCGTCACCACTTGGAAGGAGCAGGATGGGTGAACGGACCGGTGAAGGAGGGAGACCTGAAAGGCAGAGGGCCCGAACTTGACATCTTGGATCTCACCTTCCCATCCTCCATCCAGTTCTACCTCCTTGGGCACTGGGGGTGCACCAAGTGCCCCTTTTCTGGTCAGCCAGGCCATGCTGGGTTTCTGTCACTTTGAACTGAGTCCAACTTAATGCATTTCTCAACAGCTTTAAGGAAGCAAGGACCAAGCTATTGTCAATGGATGAAAGACCTGTGAATGTCAGGCCAGGCAGAATTCACAATGAGAAAAGAAAATCTTGTTTCACACATGATAGGAGTCTGAAGTGGCCTGGGACGAAAGGTCTGCAGCTTTGCCACATGTGAGTGAAGGGCTCTAGCCTTGTTGGAGGAAGTGTGTCACTGTGGAGGCAGGCTTTGAGGTCTCATACATGCTCAAGCCACACCCAGTGTCATAAGTCTACTTCCTGTTACTTTCTGATCAAGATATAACCAGCACTATGTCTGTCTGCCTGCTGGCATGCTCCTGCCATGGACTGAACCTCTGACATTGTAATCGAGCCACCCCAATTAAATATTTTCCTTTATAAGAGTTGCCGTGGTCATGGTGTCTCTTCACAGCAATAGAAACCCTAAGACAGCATGTGAAGCACTCGGCATACAGCACAAACTTGATGGACGTCATCACTGGTAGGTGGAAAACGTTAGTGTATTTGATTGAGCATTTTGTAGTGTATCAGTTAGTGACTGCTGTGTAATTACCACCCTAAAATTGAGTAGGACTGAAAAACCATTGTTGTGTCTCATTACTCGCAGGCCTACAGGATAAGGCAGCTCTCAGAATCTCCTGTGGGAGGCTAGTCTATGCTGACACAGTCTGGATGGGGAATGACAGTACCCTAGTAACTAGGAGGTTGTCTACCCCTGCTTATAGTTGTCTATTCCCTACTTTAGGGGTAAGCTACTTTAGGGGGAAGCCTGTGGCTCAATTCTAAGGATGGAGAATCATCAGCCTCTCCTGAGGCTGAAGAGGTGTAGGTAGTAGAGGCTTTTAGCATTGAGTAGCCACTAGGCTGTGGTAAGCTAACGAGAGAAATAGCCTAAAACAATGCCCATCTCATCCTTGCCTCATCCTGAACTTGAAGACAGCTCCAGTCTGGGATTTCTAATGTGGTGACAATTCTCTCTTGCCTGAGGTTGCTAGAGTTGGGGGATTTGTCATTCATAAATCAAAAAATTATTAAACAGATCTGAGCAGGAAGTAAACATTTCAGCTACCGATCATGCGTACTTGCTGGGAAAGCAGCCGGACAGCTAAAATCTGCCCTTTGTGCAATTTTGTGCCTCAGAGTTAGAGGCACCGTTCTGTGAATTGTTGAGTCAGAATTGATTGGGGTGATTGTTTTGTGCAATCAGACTGTGAGCAGCTTGAGAACTGGAGGATAGAAACCGGGTCTCATCCATCTGTGTCCCCAATAGCTAACTTGGGGCCAGGCATATAAAAAGATAATTGTCAGATGAAAGGCTTCTGATTTGGGGCTCCTGGATGAGCATGGTTGCTATGACAAGTAAATGGATTATGGAATGCATAAAGAAATGTTCCATAGCTGAAGAGCCTGACTTAGTAGGAGGCTACCATGGAGTGTGGGATATGAGTGAGTATGGTAGTCACTGGGAATGTGGAAAAGATCCGTTCTTTTTTGCACAGAGACTGTTTCATGGAGATCCACCAGGGGTGGTGGAGCCTCAGGCCCTGAAGTCTTCCTTGACTGCAGCAGGTGGCTACAAGACACTCTCTAAGGATCCTAGGCCCAGTTTGGGGTCATGAATACATAAAGGCAGCAGGAAGCACATGAAAAGCACACGGTTTGGTAAACAGATGGTTCAAATCCTTGCTCCTGGGCTTCCTATGCAAACCTTGGTTAGGCAAGCCAATTAACCTCCAAGACCCTCTGCTTTACGTCTTGCAGGATTGAGTCTAGTAGCAACTCCCTGCAATGGCTGTTTTGAAAATTAGATGAGGGATTTCCTGGGGGAGGTGTAATCTAGTGCTTGGGACAGAAATGACTGGTTAATGGTGCACATACATGCACACATCCACACCTACACCTATCTCAAAAGTCCAAGAGGTTGTATTGTGTTTAGACAACAAAGGATAAAATTTTGCATATGCCTTGATACTAGACATCAGTGCTCTGTGGCTCTGGCAATTTGTCCTTAAATTTTTTAGGACACTTCTTGGAATGTCAAACAGCTCCCGCGTCTCCTTGTCTTAGTTTTCCAATGCCCAGTCCTGTTTCCAGCCATCTTCTTAGCTCTCTACACTTGAAGTAGCAGTCAGTCTTTCTTGCAGCTTTAACTTTCAGCTGAAGTATGTTTTCAGGGTGGCCGACGGGGGAAGTAGCCGTCAAAGTGAACTGGAGGGTAGGAATGCCACTCTGGGCCCGCTACCCACACCTGTCACCCTTGCAAGCAACCACAGACTATGTGTGAGAAAAAGTTAAGCTGTTTTATTTCACAGGATAGCTCCACATCAAACCAGCAGGCACCATCAGAATACGCAACAGAGGATCCAATCAGACACTCTATAGGACGGGCATTTGGTCATAAGGTAGAGAAATGATACCCAGAAGAGGGCCACGGTTAGCATCACATGGGGACAGGCAACCAGCAATTCCCTAGGGTGGTTTCAGTTTGTTTTTCCTGTCACAATTTGAGGGGAAAAGGAAAGCAAAGAAAACAAAATAGACCAGCCACTCTGAAGCAATCAGAAGCAAACCTATTGCCAAACCATGTAAACAGTCACACCGCCTGGAACGAGGGCCTGGGCACAGAGCTAGCCTCGACCCACTTCCGTCTCAGAAGGAAAGTGCACTCTGGCAGTTCCACTTCAAGGAACAGCTTTGTGATTTGCCTGGGACAGTTCCCGCAGAAAGGAGTGGTCAGCAAAGGGCAGCAATGGCCGTGTGGCCAGTCCCAGATGATGGGACAATACTGGCAGATCAACCTCAGCGCAGCCAGGAGATCTCAGACTGACAGTGAAGTCCCTTCTGGCAGTTCCCCTGGGCAGCTTGGAGTAGGTGGAACTCTCCACTTGGAACTCAGCGCAGTGGAGAAGAGACCCCAGAGAACCAGGGAAGTTGACCTGCACTGTCAACATTAGCATGGCAGGAAAACCCGCTAAGCCGTGCCTCCGCTCGCCCCTTCCTGTCTTTTCTTCTGTCATGCCCTTCCCTCCCTGCCCAGCAGGACCCACTACCACAGCTTAGAAGCACCACCCCCCTCCACCCCTTTCTGGGTTTCTCAAGAGAATGAGGCATTTGCTCTAGTGTGGAACCATCTGGAAGATGAGAAGTTAGGAATAGAGAGGCTAAGAGGGAGGGCCATTGTGTGAGTCCTCAGGGTTTCCCATCACTTGTTTCAAACGTATGTGCCCTGGCCACTCAACGATGACCAGGTACCAGGTCTCAAGATGTCCTCTGCATCCATGCCTCCTGAATCAGAGAGGGTGGCACCCAACAAGGCACTCCAGGAGACGCCAATGAAGGGAGCCCTGTGGACAGGTCTCTCTCCCACCAGCTCCTCTTTGTGTACCACAAATGTTTTAAGTGTTTATAAGGCAGATCTCTGAACTGCTGGTTCCAGCAAGTAGCCAATGGATGGCTCCATTTCCCTGTGTCTCTTCCCACTCCAATTTCATTTCTTCACCAGACATAAACCTTTCAGTCCCTTAGGAATCAATCCATTTCCCTCCTGACCCCTGCTTTAGTGACTTCAGAGAAAAGACTCTCTGGTCTTAACTCCCAAGCCCACAATTCCCTCCAGTTGTGTGCTCTGTCCGGGGTTCAAAAGGCGCTTCAAGGTGAAAAGTTAGCACTGAAAACAAGGAAAGGCGACAGTTGTTCCCAGGATCCCACAGCTCAGAGCAGCTCGATGAGGAAAAGAGAGGGAGGGCGGGGAGGGCGAGTGGGGTCGGAAGCTCAGCTTGTTCTCAAATTGATCGGAGAAAGGTCTTTAGTGGCAGCTGGGCCACACAGTGCCCAGGAAACTAGACCAGGAATTAATTGTCTTTGGTCAGTTTTAATTAAATGAACATCTTGCTGGTTCATTCCTAAAACAGACTAAACACCGGTTATACATAAAGACAAAAGGCTTGACCTCGGATGAGTTGGAAGTTAAGAAATCATTCTGTGAAGCCAAAATAATTTTTTTAAATGCCCGTTATCAACTAACTGATCAGTACAGCTTTCAATAATGGTGATGAACATTGGTAGACACCACTTCCCCTTGTACGCTTGGCTATATTGAGGACTACTAACTATGTTACTACACCCCCCACCCCAATCACTGTACAATTAGGTTTCTGGTATTTGTTTTTACATTGATCTATCTACTAGGTGCAAAGATTTGGTAAGTGGCATTGGCTATAATGTAATTGTAGCCTCCTTTTAAAAAAAATTACAGTTTCACATTTTAACAGTTACTTCCCAGCATTTAACAAATACAGCAATATATAGTGGACTAAAAACAGGCAGGAGTTGGAAGGGAGATGCTCACACTCGATGGACACGGATGGGACCAAGTTGGGGCCTGGGGGTAGCTGAGACATGCAGGGGACCAGATGAAGTGTGTGTGTTGGGGATGGGGGTGGACAGTGTTTTTCCATTTGTTCCGCATCAAAGCTCAGATTGGGGGTTGGAGGAGTTGGGGACTCGTCTGCCATCTGTGCATGCGCTTCCCCAAATGTGAACTCATCAGCCACTTGCCAATGGGGGAAAAAATAGATGCTTAAGGAAAACAGCTGAGGCTCTGCTCTCGGGACATTTGGGGAGAGGCAGTAAGGAAAAATGAACTAAGTCAACCCAGAGACAAATCTGCACAGCATAAGGTGTGTCGGGTAACAGATTTGTAAACTCAATGTTTATCTTATCCAGTATTCAGGCAGAGAATGTTGCATTTTTGCCTGGGAGGTAAGTGGACTTCAGAATCTGGGACTAGCCCTGGGATACCAAAAAGAAGTCTTACCTCCTGGGCGCGTAGCAGAGATAGCAAACACTTAGAAATGAGGGCTTCCGGAGCCTCACGCAGCCCACTAGGCCATCTGCCATGTCTTGCCCAGGTTCCAGCCCACCCCCAGGCCTTACTCTCTTCAACTATAAAATGGAGATATCGTTATGTGCTCAAAGACAGAGGGCCCATCCTAGCAAGATGAGAGGGAAGGAAGGCTTGCTGGCTCAGGCCTCTCCCTGACAACATTCTCATTTTGTGTCCGTTCTTGATCCTCCAGGCAAAGCAGAAAGCAATCCTCCCCACATCCAAGAACCAGTGACTCACTAGGTCCCTCCCTGGGGCAGAGGGCAAGTTGCTTTTTAATGGAGGACCCAAGAGATGGTGGACGCAAGCCCAATGGGAAGAAATGCCCAGGGTGGCATCTCAACGAGTCTGTAGGTGACAGGAGTGCTGTATCCAAGGGTCACACAGCTCCTGTCTGCTGGGAGCTAGGAATCAAATTCCGGGTTTTGTACTGTAAAACTCAGAGGCAGGCAGAAGGGGTGTGGGGGCGGGCAGGGAGATCCTTGGTTTGGCATGAGGGGGAAGGTAGAAATGGTCCCTTTAGGGGTAGATTTGCCTGTGATGCATTATCCAGAAAATCTGGAGGTATCTGGAAAACGGAGACAGCAAAAGTGCAGGTAAAATGGAACCCAAAAGAGCCATGCAGAAGGCTTTCGTCCTGTTGCAGAATCACGTGCCATGTTTCTACCGCCATGTTTGGTCTACATTAACTGCTTTAGAAGAAGTGGAGGAAGAGGAAGGGAAGGGAACGTGGAGAGCACTTCCATTTTCATAAAATCTCAGCCCACGGTGTTTCCCAGCACAACCATGCTAGGACGGAGGCCAAGGGCTGACTGGGCACCGAAGGTTCCGGTGGGGAAGCACAGTGTGCTGTGGCCCAATTTGAAACGAAATGGTGTGACTCAACACCTCCTTGCCCATTTAGTTCCAAAACTGACATAGCCTAATTAGTAGAAAGAGGAAGAAGAAAAACATGAAATATTTTGAAGATGAGAGAAGTAAACTTCTATAGTCACCACAGATTTATCCCTACAGCATGTCTGGGGTTTGAACTCCTCCACACTACTGTTTGGGCTCTTGTGGAATTTGCTGTTGTTCTCTTTTCCCTAACCACAGGTAATGCTGTGCTATGATGGGGTGTAGCACCTCACCATCCCGTTTCTGCATACAAACCCAAGGGTCTTCACACCAACCTCCCCTGTGCCTTTTAGGGTACAGTTGACCTCTGGCCTTTGGGTGGCAGGGCAGGGTCTCTGGGGGTAGATGAAGGGTTTTCTGTGAAGGGTTCCCCACCTTTAGGAGCAGCCTGCTTGGGGGTACTGCCTGCCCCACCCTTCCTTGAGGGGCAGACTGTTCTGGAAGGCCACGACTTCTGGAGACAGCTGGAGACTGTTTCTGGTTTTGTGTCTCTGCAGGTTAGTGGTATATTGCTTCGTTTGCAGTTACTGTGGGGCCTCTAAGCTCTCCCAGAGAAGTCCCTGCAAACCCCACCGAATACCAGTGGGAGATGTTTGGTGGCATGGGTCTGAGGTAAATCTAAGTTTCATAAAAAGAAAAAAAAGGAGCGTCTATATACAGTTAGCATGTGTGTATGTCCAGCTCTCTAGTATATGTATATAGATGCATAAATATATATACACACACACCTACAGACACATACGTACACATATGCATATATATGCACGTATTTATATACACACACATATATACGTATGTAGAGAATATCGAGAGAATAATTTTCCAGTGACAATATGAGAAGCTGGTAAGCATCTGCCTCAATCTTAGGAAACACTGTCCCTGGGACTGATCTTGCTCCAGCATTCCTTGGCATGTCTATTTGCCCACAAGAGGTCTGTGGCATTCACATGGCTGAGTCTGAGGTGCAGCTAATGCCTGGGCCTCTGCTCTCCACAGACATACACCCTCCCAGGCTGACCTTCTAGGATCTGCCCTCCAAGGCCAGGAGATCCCTGGGAAGCAAGTGGAAGCCACCGGGGCCACCCAAGGCCACGGTGTGCTGCAGTGGGCCACGGCGGTGTCACCGGTCCTGCAGGTCACATAGTGCCAGACTTGTCCGAGGAGCTATTGGGGAACATCTTCTCAGTAGGTGTCACGGCCGGGCTGCCCACGCCCGAGCTGCTGCTGCTGGAGGATCGGTGCTGGACCACGGGTCTGACCGGACGCATTGGGGGTGGACGCAGCTGGGCACCAGCCAGTCGAGCTGACAGGGCAGGCTTGAAGGTGGTCATCATCTCGGTGGATGAGCTGCTGCTGCGGCGCATGGCAGCGTCAGGGTCTCGGATGACAATGGTGTGCAGGGGGCTGGCAGGCTCCGAGCTGATGGGGCCTGGTGGATTCTTCAGGGGCTCCAGGGTGTCCAGCACCACATCTGGCGCCTGCTTGACAGTGTTCTGTCTCTCAAGTTCCCGCAACTCATGCAAAGCTGTGCTCATGGTCTTCTCGATGTCCTGGGGACAGAGAGGGCTCTGGTCAACACAGGTTCTTCAGAGCTGCTAGCTAGTTCAAGACTTTCCAGAGGATGTTTTCTGGGAATCCCATGTCTCAGAGGGATACCAGACCCCAAGGGTATCTTGTAACCAAAGCAGGGATCAACATGAGTACCCCCCTGTACCTGTCCTGCACGAGAAGTCACCATCATAAAGGTAGGTCAGGTCGTAGCAGACAGACATTCATTCAGAAACTGACTCTGCTACTTCCTTGCTATGGAACTGCATGTACCTCTCTGAGCCTGAGAATTCTCACTGGTAAATTTCAGACAGTTATAATACTTACCTCGGAGGGTTGGTGAACGTATAAAACAATCAAATCCATGCATGGCACCTGGCACTCAAAAACAGTAGTAATGATCCCCATAGCAATGATTCTTAATGATGAGCGCTGATCGAAAGCTTTGAATAACTTACTGATAAGGTAGGGACAACTGTTACACTCACTTCACACATAAGGAAACTGAGGCTCAGATTAGTCAAGTACCTTGCCCAGGGTCACACAGCTAAATAACACAGTCCAAGTCAGGTGTCTGGCTCCAGAGTCTCTGCCCTCGACACTGTTTTTTTTTTTTTTTTCTTAAGAGTCATTTTAGGGGTAGAGAGATGGGTTGGTGGTTACGAGCACTGGCTGCTTTTCCAAAGGAACCAGGTTCAATTCCCAGCACCCACATAGTGGCTTTCTAACAGGCTGCACCTCCAGTCCCAGGGATCCGTCACCCTTGTCTGCGTCTGTGGGCACTGCACACACGAGGTACATGTATACATGCAGGCAAAACACCCATACATGAAATCAAATGAAAAAAAAAAAGAGTCCTTCATCCTAACACATACAGATATCGAGAGACTCCACACTCGACCCTAGAGAACTGTATAGTTGTCTGTCGGTTTTGAAAATGGAAAGAAATCCTTGCCCACAGGGAAATTACTACCTACAGAACATGCAGTGTGCATCCCAGAATGGCAGGAAGACCACTTTCCTCTCAGCATGATGATCTAAAAGGCTCATGTCTTCTTTAAAAAGTGGAACAAATTTAAATGGCACATAGGACATGGTTGTATCTGCAGGCTCATCAGAAAGAGGATACCTCAGGTGACAGATGTGAGGCACACAGGCCAGCCTGAGGGCCACGGACACCAAATCCAGGGCAGGGTGGGGCTGGAAAGTGGCACTGATCTAGAAGCTGGGCGAGCACCAGCCACTCTGCCCTGCGCTTCTTCCGTCTGATGAAAGCCCACATTTGCTGGGAAGGTGTGGTGACAGTGAGGTGTGGTGACAGCGAGGACATGAAGTACTACAAACTGCCAGACAGTGGCCATCCAACTCCTCAGAGAGCAAGAGTCCTTGTTCACGGGGCTTTTAAGGGGTGGCCTCCACATCTGATCTGACCTGGAACCCACGGAGGGCACAACAAGGGACCTGGCTTAAAAACCTTCACTCGCAGGTGCCATGCCCAATTTGAGCAGTGTTGGCTACTAAGGGTTGCTCGCTCTTCCGCAGTCTGAGGCCAGCCCGGGAAGAAAATGCATGGCTCTGGGGAGACAGATGGGGCTAGAACCTGGAAATACAGTAGAGGCCTCTATCCATCGGAGTCTTCATCCTCTCCTTCCCGGATCTGCAGGCAGCCTCCTTCCTGCCAGACTCCAGTGTGCCCAGGGCACGTCCCCAGCAGTCTCTGTTCACCTCATGATCCCAGTTTATCCCATTTGCTCTCTATGTCCTGCTAATGACCAACACCAGCTCTTACGCTTCCCCGTCATGTTTAACCCTTTGCCCACTGTGCTGGCCATTTTAAGAAGGGGCCTTCAGGAGGTTCTTTATCCAGAGACTCAGTTGTGGGTGACTCTGCAGGAAGGGCTCTTCTACCTGTCTACTGCAGACACACTTGCAGGGTCACCCCAGCCTCCACCACTGTTCTGGGACTTAGTCTCCTATTGCCCTCACAATCTCTTCCCACCCCCACCCCCCATTTGCTCCAATCCAATGGGAACTGAAAGGTAAAAATGTCAATAACTAAAATGTAATTTTCTCATCTCCCCATCCCTGGTAGAGTGTGAATGGGAAAGACAGAAAGCTCAGAGAAAGGTGGGCTGAGGAGTTTAGGCTGCAGCCTTGCATTAGTCTGATGAGGGATGCGTTAAGTCTGCCAGGTGAAGCCGCAGAGAGGCAGTGGGGCCTGGGACACAGTTGGGAAAGGACTCGGTTTTCACCTCCTCCCCACTTCAGAGGACAGTATTGCACATTTCCAAAACAGCCTCTTTACCTGGGCTTCAAATCTACTTTGTTTGAATCTAGGGTGACTCCACCTACTATTTGGGGTTCTCCACACCACCTCCCCTTTGACTCCAACCAAGTCAAGGGCTCCTCAGACATGAAGCTGAGCAAGAGGGTGGCTGTCCAGTGTCTTCTCGACTGTTTTCTACGACCTTCACTTTCACTTCAGTCCATGAAAAGCACTATCCAGTGAGAGCGGGCGTGGACACTGACATCGCACGTAGTATTGCTGTGTGTATTTCTTGAGCTAGGCTAACAAAATGCTCCTCAGATAAAGACTACAGAAGACTAGAGACGGAATATACCCTGTTCCTGCTAGAGCTCCACAATGCACAGCAAACTATTTCAAGGTTCTAAAACATCTGTAAGTATGTCTTTCTACCTGGTCAGAGTACCATAGCATAAAAGATGCTCTAACTCCACTCACTCCACTGGCATCCCGTAGTAGTCTGTGATGCATTAGGCACAGTGCCCCTGACTGCATTTGACTATCCATGTAAAGGACCCTGAAGCAGCTTTAGGAAGCACCTGCCTTGTTGTGATGGCCGTCTTTAGAAGATGTTGGATACTAGGGTGATGGTTCTCAAGAGGGTAGCCTTCAAGGATGGAAGGCCAGGTTGGCTGTCTCCTCTACTTGGTCCATGCCAAGGTACCGACCCCAAGGACTCCCCGGAAATGGGCATCAGGATATGAGGTAAAGGCCATGTGTGGAGTTCTAGCTGGTGGTGCATTGCTTCCAGCCAGGGCATTCTCTGAGGATCTTCCCTAGAGTCTTGTAAGGACATGCGCAGAAACTTACAAGCTCATCTCATCCTCTTCTAAACGGTATTCAAAAAGACTATCAGCACAACAGATTCTCCCCAGCCTGCAGGACCTGCTAGTCCGTGTCTGTCATCTCTTCTAGTCCCTGTCTGTTATCTCTTAAATGAGAGACAACATTGAGGGAGGTACATAATGGACCCTTGCCCAAAATTACAGCTAGGGGAATAAAAGGGGAAACTTCTGGGAATATGATGTCAAAAACAGACACGACCAGTGAGGTGAACTCGCAAACAAACTGATTCTGGCCAATGGGGGAAAAAATCATCCAAACAGAAAACATTCTAGAAGAGCCTGGAATATTCTCCATTGTGCTTCAGCTATTTAGTCCTGTCCATCTTGGGTCTTGGGTCATACCCAAGGGAATTACTTCCAAACTGTAGACTCTCAAAATATGATATACCCTCCCCTGCTAATTAAAGACAACGGGCCCTGCTGCCATTTTGGGTTGGCAGTTCTCCTTAACTATAAGTTCATGTGGGGAGGGCCAAAGTACATCAGGTCTCCACTGTACTTCACTGTGCGTGGTAAATGTCACACAACAGATGCTCAGTCAAGATTCATCAATAAATGAATAATGGATGAAAGATGGATGGATGCATGCATAGATGGATGGATGCATGCATTGGTGGATACATGGACTCAATCACAGCATCTGGTGAAGAGGCCTGCCATTACCTCAGCCCCATAATCCAGCTACCCTCTCTCCAGCCTGGACACTTGGGGGGGGGGTCTTTCAGTCTTTATAGGAGCTCTAGCTAGTAGCATGGAAAGGAAGCCAATTCACTGTCTTGTCTGGCTCAGTCTCAAGTTCCACCAAGGCCACTGTAGTTGCCCACTCAGAAGTTCCCACCCTCTGTCCCACTGAGTCTCACTGGCCTAACTGTCTTCTGTGGGGCCCTTACTTCTGCCAGGGCCTCAGCCTCCAGGGACTTGTGGTCCCCTAGGCTGCTGTGCCGGGTGGAGCCGCAAGTCGACCTCATGGAGAGCCCTTCTGCCAACGCCTTCTTGTCAGGGTAGTTGATGCTGCCAGCGCTCCCGAATGTCGCCATCCTCCTCTTCTCAGGGCTCTCAATCCGTCCCCGGCTGAGTGGGATTTTGTGGGGGCTGCTAGGGCAGGCAGCAGCTCGGGGTGGCGTGTCTATGCTGGGACCCAAGCCCCGGGGTGGGCTGTGTGTGTCGCCCCCGCTTCGGCGCCTGGGGATGGCCGCTCCGTCAGACCGTAGTCGCACTCTGCAAAGGAGCCAGGGGCAGGGAGCATGGGGCAGAAGTCAACCCTAGCCAGGCTCAGAACGGGCCAGCCAACCCCCACGCCATAGCTACATGCTAATCTAGAGGAGCCAGCACAGTGAAGCCTCATTCAGCCAGACTGTACAATTTCGGCGATGAAAGGGCCAGCTCAGACCTGTGACACTTTCCCTACAGGGGAAGGGTAACTTGGCCCAGGGAGGAGGGCTGAGAGCGGGAGCCAGGCTGGCTGCACTGCTAACCAAATTCTAAGTCAGGTTCGGGCAGGAAGATTCCAAACTGGAAATGCTGTGGCTAGCTGTGGTCATACATATAGTCTGACGCCTTTCAGACTCTAGCTGGTTTGTAACACTGAGGCTTGACTGTACCAAAAGGCCACGGTAAGCACAGTAAGCACCCCTGGGAACGAAATACCTGCTCGCCATTGTCACCCACCAACCTCCCTAGAGCAGGGCTGTCTCTACGGCTTTCCCAAATCTGTGGGTACCTTGTCCACCTCCGGGGCTCTACTGGTGTGAAAGGGTGTGAGCTGCTTATCAGCTCATGTCTACCTCAAGCTTTTCTGTATTCTCCCCAAATCCATTCTGTGAATCTGCTACATTGATGGACTATCCCTCACCTGCCCAAATTTAAGTGGGTTTATCAATAACTTAGAGACTACTGTGTCCTGTGGAGGTCACCCAAGTTATAGAGGCCTTCATGAGGGTAGGGAGGGCTGGATGTGGATGAGGGTAGGGAGGGATAGTGGCTGGGAATGGACCAAGTTCCATGGGACTGGTGGCAATTCAAACCCTGTGCCCCAGCAAAGCTAAGCAAGCCTGTGGTGCCCCAGTAAGATCAAAGCATAGGTGTTGGGAGGAAGAGGCTTTAAGAAAGAAAAGAACAAGGTTAAGAGAGGGATGAAGGGGAGGAAGAGAGGCAGGAGATGATATGGTCCTCCTAGGAGCTGGGGACCACACCGTTCTCCTCTATGGACCCAGCCTTCAACTTCCTCACCCCTGGATTCTATAATCTTGCAGTGTCCAAAGCTGATCTGAGCAGATATCACTAAAAAGAGGCTTCAGGACCTCAACTAAAATAAATTCTTAAGTATACCCAGTGAATGCTGCCACAGGCATCTCTTGCTCTCTCTGCAAAGACTGGGTTGATCACAAGACCCTTCAGGCTGCAGTGGGGGGTGGGGGTAGGCGGGACAGACTTTGACCATCTAAGAGGACAAGGGGTTGCGGGGGGGGGGGGGGGGGGTGGCAGCAGAGCGAGACTGTTAGCTTTTTCTCTCTTCCTGTTCCCAGGATGACTTGCACAGCTCCTTGCTGGTATACAGGTAATGTGACACAGCCCAGCCTCAGTAAAGAGACCGGCATATCTGTTCCTACCACACAGGGAGGTGGAGTCGGGTATGGACTTCCACAGAAGAAGGTGTGAACTCTGTTTAAGTGGTGTGTTTCAGGGATGGGGGACTGTGGGAGCTTTACATTTTAAAAAGATTGTGTAACAACAGAAAGCTGGCAGGAGGCACAGGAGCTGGAGAGAGAAAGAAAAGCATTCACCAATTTTCTTCCTATGTGTGTGTCTCTCTCATCATTATTATATTAAAATTCTAAGACAGCCTTACTGTGTAGCCCAGGCTGGCCTATGATTGCTATTTAAAAAATAAGAAGCTCTTTGATGCCAGCGTACGTCTTCCTCTTCCTTCTTTCATACCCCCCTACTCAAAGCTGGGTCGGTTCACACCTGGAATCCTTGGGTCATTCCCCTAACCCACCCAGCTATACTCAGGGTCACAGCGTGTAGAATCCAGGGGCTGTAAGAGTCTCCTTCTCCCCTTCCTGATCTCTTGCTTCTCCCAATTCTCACACACACACACACACACACACACACACACACACACACACACACACACACACACAATGGGGCACTAGGGGGACAAAAATGAACCCACATTTCCTACCGGCCCATCACCCCCCCAAAGCCGTAATCAGAGATGTGCTCTGTGGGGGACTGGAGGTCATTCTTGGAGGAGGCCTTGTCATCCAGCAGTGGCCCACTGCTGGCCTCACTGTCAGCCTTTTGGCTCAGGCTGTCGGAGAAGGCATCGTCCCTGGGGAGAAGAGAGACATGAATTGGAGGTGGTCCCTGTCCTCTGGGGGAAGGCCCAGGATGCCCAGAGCTCCTCCAAACCTGTCTGCACACACCTATGACTATCTATACCAGCAGCCCAGGCCGAGCACCTTCCCTCCACACGTGCCTTCCACGAGGCTCCAATAGCCAGGCTCTCTAGTGGGTGGCTCCCTTGTATTCCACCCCATTCCACTGTTTCTTTCCCCTTTATAGCTTTTTTTTCTCTCCTAGACCCTCTCAATGATGGAGACAGGGTGGAGAAATGGGTGTTAAGAGTCTGCAAGCTGAGCACAGGGTGCTGAGTGCTGAGTCTCCTAGCATAGGATGCTGCATGCTGAGTTTCCTATGGCTCCATGCTCAGAGCCAAGCAAGGGGGGAAAGAGCTACCTCCATCACTTACCTCCCTATCTGGGGTGAAGGGTACTTGTGAGGAGGCCCTCTATTACAGCATCCCCTTTCTCATTCGATTGGCTCAAGCTCAGAACTTTCTCCCCTGCATCACAACATAGGCTTAGGGTTTCCTTCCTGTGGAGTTTAGCTCCATGGCTGCTTCCAGGACAGCTCAACTCCCCTGAGCCAATCCAAGCCAGAAGGCAATGAGAGCCCAGGAAGAACCTCACACAAAGTGTTAACTTCTTGAACTTTCCGACAGTGCTGGATATTTGGGATGTGTAGTGCTTTAAACTCTTTAAATCATTAAAAATGTCATCTGGTTAAAAGAAAATGGAATGTTTGTGTTTCTCCATCCCCTGAGAAGGTCACATCTGGAATGAAGGGCTGTGAGCTTAAGGGGTAGTGAGCTGGTCACTAGCTCCAGGGAAAGCTCAGGATAGTGGAGGGATATGAAAAGACTATGGGATGCTAGTCAGTGCCCTGGTTGTGACTCATAGGTCTGGATGGTGGCCCCAGACCTAATACTATCTCTGTATCATCTGAAGGATGAGCAATGTGCATATTTCTTCTGTGGATTTCCACTTAAAGACAGTTAGGGAAAAAAACCCATTCTTAGAGATCATCAAGATTTGATATTGATCCCGGGAGAACAAATTGCCAGCATATAACCCAGGATTCTCCTTCTACTGACCATTCCAGACATCACTAATCTATTACCTCATTCTTCATAGAAGGCCCCAGTTCTCACTCACATGTCCTGTACAACTATGTACTGATGAGGGATGAGTCCATCCACACCATTGTGACGGCCCTCCCACCAGTCCTCTGAGGCACGGTGATACAGGAGCAATGAGGCCCCTTTTTTGAAGGACAGCTCACGAGGGGACCGCCCCACATAGTCAAACTTGGCGATGGCCTCGATCTGCTCCACTTCTGAAAGAAAATAAAGAGAAAGAACATCTTTGAGGTCAGAGGGGTGTCCCAAGACTCAGACAGCCTGGGCTTCAGTGAGGAAGATGGGTGGCAGGCGTGATGAGCACATGTAGGCTGGGGCTTGGGACCCCAGCACCCTAGGTTTAGACTCCTCCCTGCTGTTCAGTCTTAGGCAATCTATGTAACTTCCCAGAATGTCCAGTGAGTACCAGGCTCAGTGGCGTAGACCTGGAATCTCAGTGTTCTGGAGCCCAGGGCAAGAAGACTGAGTTTGTAACCAGCCTGAGCTATATAGTGATAACCTATCATAAAAAATTAAATAAACGAACAAATACAAACATTCCACAGGGAGCAGGCATGCCAGTTCCTTGTTTTCCATTGCATGATTATTGAAACTAGTTTGACTAGGTGTGGTAATGCATACCTACAATCCAAGCACCTGGAAGTGGAGGCAGGATAACAGGAGTCTGAGGCCAGCCTGAGCTACATGGACCCCATATCAAATGTGTATGTATATGTTTGAAGAAATTCATTTTTCTTTTACACCTCAGCATACATTCTACCCCCACTTTCCCATGAGCCCTTTTCTCTCTTGTCCGCTTACACGTAAGCATCACGCACTGCCTGCAGGGCTAGATTCCCATCTCTGTTCAGTCACGATACTTTCAGTGGCTCTTCATCTTCCAAATGGTGAATGGAAATAAGGACACAGCACAATCAAAACTCATGGGTGCAGCTACTGCTTAGGTGGAAATTTAGAGTTGCAAATGACTGTCCTAAGAAAAATCCTAAACCAATAACGTCCACCTTCACCTTAAAAAGCAGGAAGTGCAGGAGCTGGAGAGATGGCTTGGTGGTTAAGAGCAGGCTGCTCTTCCAGAGGACCTGGGTTTGATTCCCAGCACCTACAACCCAGTTCAGCTTCCAAAGGATCTAACGCCCTCTTCTGGCCTCCATGGACACTGCATGCACACGGCATACAAGCACACATGAAGACAAAACTTCATATCCATAAAATATATATAAACTATAAAAAAAAGTTGTGGGAGCCCGTTCTCGGGTTCCTCGTGGCTTTACCCAGCATGTCCGCATAGAGGATGATTAGGACCACGGGCCTGAGTGCAGGTGTCTGAGATGGTCTGCACTTGGCTGTGCTGGGGGAGGAGGTCTTTTGCTCCACCTCCTGGCGTCTCTATAAAAACCCTGGGGCAGAGACAGTCGGGGCCTGCTGGAATAGGTTCCAGGCCCTCTCGAGGCTATCCTTTATTTTCTATCTGTTTATCTCCGCAAGATTCTCCGCAATAAATCCTTCTATCTAATATTTCCTGCTGCTCGCACTCAAGAAAACTCTGGGGAACTATGGGGGTGGTTGGATAAACACCCCACAAAAAGTAAAGACATTAGAAGTGCAAACTGAAGCTAAAGCAAGCAGAGGGGGGAGTCTACAGATTAAAGGAGAATTAGTGAGATAGAGACTAGGGAAAAAGATGAGGACCAAGCCGCTTCTTTAAAAAAGATCAAGGAAATTAACAAACATTTGCTAAATAAACTAAGAAAATAAGATAGAAAAATCACATTAATAAAATGCAAAATCAGAAATGGAAAAGAAACATTAAGGTCATTAGTTTGGAGGAAAAAGGGGTATCATAAAGAAATATTACCAACAATTATATGTCAACAAATTAGATAAGTTGGACGAAATGGGCACATTCCTAAAAACGTAGACTACTGAAACTGACTTGAGAAGTAGAATATCTAGGGCCAGTGGGAGGGCTTGTCGCCAAGCCCAACGATGTGTTTGATCCCTGAGTCCTTTATGATAGAAGGAGAGAACCTACTCCTGCATGTTGTCCTTCAACCTCACAAGTACAAACCCTGATATAGGCACCCCTCCCACAATAAAGAAATGTAAAAAACAAAAATTAAAACATCTGGGGCCAGTAAGCTAGCTCATGCTGTACATGTTGAATGACCTCAGTTCTCACATTAAACAATGTAGGAAAAAAAGCTGGATACCATGATCCACATCTGTAATCCAGCACTCCTGTGAGAAGATGGGTAGGGGAGACAAAAGAGTCACCCAGAAGCTCACAGGCTAGACAGCCTGTAGCATGCAGCTGCAGAAACAAGAGACACCCTGCCTCAACAAGCTGAAGGAGAAAGTTGTCCTCTGGCTTCTACACACATGCCATGTCATGCATGTGCCTGCCCATCACACATACACATGAACACATGCTAAGAATACATTTTAAAAAAAGAAATAAAAAACCTGAATGAGTCTCCAAGAACACGAATCAACCATCAAAGCACTACTCAGAAAGATATGCCCAGCCCCATATGACTTCACTGCTGAATTTCACCAAACATTTAAACAATAATAATTATTCACCAAGTTTTCCAAAAAGCATAAGAGGGGGAAAGACTTGGTAACACATTTCACAAGGCAAGAATTATCTAACACAAAACCTGGAATATATGACCAGAAAACTTCAGACCGACATCTCCTGTGAATATGGATGAAATTTTTCTTTACAAAATATTAGCAAACTGGATGCAGGGGTATGTGAAAGGAATTGTTCTCTATCCCTGAAAAGAATTTATCCCAGGAATGTAAAATTGGTTTAACATCTAAAATTTCAATGAATCTTATCAGTAAAATAAAAAAGGAAAAAAATGACATAATCATCTCAACAGTTTGCATTTGGCAAAGATTAACATATTTTCCTAATGAAACACTCCACAGAAGAGGAACAGAAAGGTACTCCCTTGACTTGATAAATGCACCTCTGAAAACCTCACTGCTGTGTGGGAGAGATGGCTCAGCCATTAAGAGCACTTGCTGTACAACCAGAGGACTGGAGTTCAGATCCCAGTATCCATGAGACAAGTCAGACATCTGTCACACACCTGAGACCTCAGCTCTGAGATGGGTGGAGACAGAAAGGTCACTGAGGCTTACTGGATTCTGGTCCAGCTGAAAATATGTGAGCCCAGGTTCAGGGATTCTGCTTCAAAGAAACAGTGATCATGGAGGACACTCAATAACTCTTTTCTTATCTTCATGTGTGTGTCAGGCATGAGTACACATGCACACATATGCATGAAAACACATACACACAGACACTTATGAAAAAAAAGATAGCAAAAACCCTGGCAGCTAATATTATATCTGTTGTAAAACGCTGGCTGTTTTCTCTGTGTGGTGGTTTGAAATGAGAACGGCGCCGTGGGTTTGTATGTTTAAATATTTAGTCCCCACTTAGTGAAACTCTTTGGGAAGGAATATGGGGCGTGGCCTTGTTGGAGAAGGTGTGTCACTGGGGGTAGATGTTGGACTCTAACCCTCTGACACTGTAAGCCCTAAATAAACTCTTTCTTCTATAAGTTGCCTTGGTCATGGTGTCTTATTACAGTAATGTAAACTAAGACACCTCACAAGAAAGAAGGCAAGACAAGGGCCTTCATGAATATCATCAAAACAATGAGCAACAAAATAAAAACTGGATGAACTGGACTGCATCAAAATTAAAACCTTTTGTGCTTCAAAGAACATTTGGAAAGCAATAAGCAAGTCTTATAATAGAAGAAAACATCTGAAAATCATACTTGAGATAATAAACTTATATTTATATATACTAAAAAGTATTTAGTATTTATCAATACTAGAAAGGCAAATTTAAAATGGGCAACAGACCTAAAGGCAGAATATTTACCGCTGCTTTTTCAGGAGATAGAAGTTTAGTGACATCCCTCAGCACCATGGGTCCTCAGGTACTGAAGGGCAGCGGTGCTGCTTGGAGAGCTGTGGGGCTGTGGAGGCTAGCCCTGTGGTGGGCTCAAGTAAGCAGGAGGGCCCTGTGAGGTTGTAGGCCTAGATTCTGCCCACTATGCCTTAATGGGTAAGAAGGCCTGAGCCCATTTTACTCAGATTGCTCGTCTGTATGGTCCGATTTCCATGGAAACTAGCATGACTTCTCAGCTAGCAAGAGTAGAGGAATCAGGGAGATGGGTCCCTTCCCCTCTCTCTCTCTCTCTCTCTCTCTCTCTCTCTCTCTCTCTCTCTCTCTCTCTCACACACACACACACACACACACACACACACACACACACACACACACTCTTCTGTTTCTCTCCACACTCCTCACGACTGGAGAAATTCTTAGGTGCCCCTACACAGGAAGGTCCCTGTAATCTCACATTGTCAGTCTGTTCTTGAGGAGCTGCTTCCAATCTGCTGAGGTCTGCTGAGAGATGAGGAACTCCTTGAGGACCCAGTTCATTCATCACCAGGTCCCAGGTCTCAGCAAAGGCCTGGTGCAGAGCATATCCTTGAGTTGGGGCCAGGGATAGCAGAGAGACAGGACACTTTTCTCTTAGACACTTGTCTCTGAGGATTGGTACTGAACCAAGCAGGACACACAGAGGGTGGCATAGGTCAGGAGTGCTATGTAGTAAATGCACAGCACCTACCAGAATCTGCTGTATGTGGGCCTATGCTGGGACCCAAGCCATGTATTAAGGCTTTCCTGGGTGCCTCTCTGCGCTGAAGGACAACTGTGTTGCTTAGAGAGCCGTGGGGCTGTGGAGACTGGCCCTGTGGCTGGCTTGAGTAGGCGTGGGAGGTCCCTGTGAGTTTTTTGGCCCAGACCCTCCCCTCTACTCACCTTCATCACTGGTGTGAGGCTCTGTGCCATTGTCATGGTCAACTTCATCAATGGTCCCTGGCTCACTGTGTGGACTGTCACTGCAAGCAAACATAGGAAGAGATCTTGTTGGGGACTTTCCTGAATACTTCTTTAGTGACCCCTAGCTCTGGAATTGATAGATTGTCAAAGGCTTGAGTATGTGGCCCATGTGCATTAGAAACATCATCCCCAATGCCATCGTGTTTGGAGGTACAATCTAAGTAGAGGTGATTAGGCCACAAGGGCTGTGTTGTCAGAAATGAACTGGTGTTGACCGAGGTTAGTTATGTGAGGGTAGACTTACTGTGTTAGCCCTGACCCCTTTGGGCTATCTTGCTTGTTCTCACCGTTTCTTTCCCTCTGCCTTCCACCATGGGATGATTTCACATGAGTGCCCTCGCTGCATGTAGTATACCTCTTAGTTTTCAGAACCTTGAGCTACACAGATTTCAGTTCATTATAGACGACGCAGTCTCAAGCACAGTAGCAGACGCGGGCTGAAATGCTTATGTGTTCAATGAGATTCAGATGGCAGTGGGAAACCGCATGCATCTGGAGGCCAGGGCTCTCCTCATGGTGTGTGTGTGTGTGTGTGTGTGTGTGTGTGTGTGTGTGTGTGTGTGTGCACGCGTGCACCAGGTTTTCATCAAGATCTTGACTGGGTTCTAATACATACCACTGTATTAAGTAGAAAGGACACAATGACAAATCAAGTGGACCAGGTCCCTGACCTCACTGCTCACATTCTAGGGAGAGAAAACAGCCCAAGTAATGAGGCCAGTGCATAAAACAGTTGCAAGATGAAATAATGATTTATAAGAAAGAACCAGGCTGACATGAGAGCAGCAGAGGGGACCAATATAGAGTGATCTGGATGGCTTTTAATAGGAGGTGACATTTACGATACCATTTTAAAAATGGCTTTCGGCAGCTCAGCTGGCAGTGTCTAGCACGTACAAAGGCCTGCCTTTTCTCTTCGGCCCCACACAAACCTGGCCTGGTAGTACACGCCTGTAATTCCAACTCTCAGTAGGTAAAGGCAGAAGGATCAGAAGCTCAAGTGAGCTTCGGCTCTATAATGAGTTTGGGGCCAGTCTGGGCTACATGAGACTGTTTTTAAAAGGACAAAAAGAAACAGAGACTCTATTGTAATAATTCCCCATTGCCACCAGGATTAGATGCAAATCGAGGCTGTCAGAGCCGGCCTCCAGCTGACCTGTGTAGCCTGGCACCTCACCAACCTCCTGTCACACACCCCACCTCAACAAATCAGCCACTTGTCACTCTGTGCTGCAGGCCTCAGACTTTCTCAGCCTAGTCCTCTGTGAACTGGCCCCAGTTTAAGTTGCTAACTTGGATCTTTCTTTACCTCCTTGAGAAGCCTTTCCTGGTGGCCTGTGATTGGCTCAGGGGCCCCTGCGGAAACAGCTTGCTTCTGTCCTGTTAACACTCCTCCCACCGAAGCAAATCTTGCTCAGGCATCATCCCTGTCACCTGGAGATGCAGTCCCCAGAGGATGCTGCGTGGTCATGGGGGGCACTGCTGAATGAATGTGGGGGTGGAGGGAGACTGCTGAATGAGTGGATTTTGTCCACTGTACTGAGACCTTCAGCTTTATCTCCCTTTTTAGTTCTGAAAATACCGTCACAATGACCACATAATTGCTAATTTTCCAGTCTCATGGGAAGTGAAGAAAAGTGTAAAAGTTGCGAGTGTGTATTGTACATGTGTAATTTGTGTGTTTGGCCTTTCTTTACGCTGAAATTGTGCTTTCTAGCTGCATAAGGGTCCTGTATAGTGTTAGGACAGAGAGCTGTGACCAGACACACTTGTGGCCCTTCACTACCATTAAACACATATCCATCTTCACTCTTGCAGGCTTAGCTTGGGGAAGGTAGCCAGGCCTGGTTCCAAAAAGGTTCTTAACTACTTCTGATACAGAGAGTCAGAACAACTAAGAGAGCTAACCAACTAATGATCTTCGACCTGAGGTGGGACAGTCTCTGGAAGAGAGAACTCCTGGGTAGGAGAGGTTGGTGATGGGTATCACCTTCAGCTGTTGGGGTTCACAGAGGGACACCCACTCCTCCGCTTCCTGAGATAGGCCTATGATACCTGGCCAGCCACAACATAATGAGAGCTCCTCAGAGTCAAATGGGAACTTCCTATAGGAACATCTGGGAGAGAGAAGCTCTTCTTCTGTTGGGGCTGCAGAGAATGGGCGACAAAGAACGGAACTGCTTGCTGGCTGCCTTCTGACAGCCACTAAGGGAGAGGCTGTCCGAGACTGAAGCCAGCACAGAAGGCAGCAAAGCCAAGGGGCAGAGTCGGCAGGGCTGGGTCCTGCTGACAACAGCCAAGCCTCTGGACCCAGCCACACCTGAAGACAGAACCCTCGATATTTCAGTTAAGTAAGCTACAAATGCACGATGGGCTTAGGCTATCTGGAGGTGCGTTTTATTCCTTGAAACTTACACAATCTTGGCTGATATCTCTGTCTCTCATGTGGGACTGCTGTGAAGCTCTCATGAAAAGCTATGTATGATGAACGGACCCTAGTGTCATGAGAAAACTGGAAGGCTTCTGACTGTTCTTAACAACGATAGGATGGTGTTAATGGTGATATTAAGAGGAAGGGCGCCTTACCAGTATTCTTCCCCTCCAGCCATGCATTTTTCGTACACAGGTCCCTCTAGCTCCCGCGGGCTGGGGAAGATGGCTTCATGGTGGATGATGATGGTTTTGATGACTTCATTGACATGCGCCTGGCAGGATACAGGGTCCTGCCCATCAGGGATGTGCATGAGGGTGGGCCCAAAGCAGATGGCCAAGTTGTAGGGATCCATCATGTTCTCATCACTGTACTGGGAAAGGCTAGGAGAGAGCAGGTACCCACTGTTCACCCAAAAGGCAAATCCTCCCCCATGGTATCTTTCTTTTTTGGGGAAGGAGGGACCCGACTCAAATGCAAGAATGTTCTATATTCCAGTTTATAACAGTAGCACTCATAAAAGCCTTGGGACACCCCTCCCAGAGGAGGCCAGTCCCAGAGGGCTCCCCAGGCCAGGTACTCACTGATTGAGGAAAGCAAAGAGGTATCTCATGACCACGATGACCACGCGGGGCAGGGTGATGAGGATCTGCTGGATTGGGTGCACCCTGTCAGCTGGGTTCTCCAGTTCTGTAAGGCACAGGGGGATCAAGGTGCCTGTTACCCTTAGAGAAAGGAAGAGGATATCTCCAGGCCCCACCTCCTCCATCAGCTCCTTAGGGACCAGTCAAGATGGCTCTACTTTCCGTTGAGATTTGTGTGAGATCCCGGCCAGAGCCAATCAGAACAAGACAGGTTGGAGGCTAGCCTACGCAGAACCGCTTCAAGCTGGTCTTGAGACTGTGGAGAAACCTATGGAGAGATGCCTGGAACTTGGGTAGCAGAGAATCTGGAGCAGCTAGGGACTGCCAGGAAAGAGCATTCTGCCTGAGGACCGAAGGAGTGACACAAACCCCAGGATGGACATGGGAAGTCCAAAATGGATGGCTCTAAAGTTTTCTGGTAGAGGAACTGACATACTTCGTTTTATGGACTCAGATAGTCTCTGTCACTGGCAGCCTTGGAGTCCTGATGACACAGGCAGGGATGGTGGTTTAGTAAGTGTGACAGGCACCAGCCACATCACAGGCCTGGCACACCACAGTCACTCAGAAAAGAACAGCGTAAACATAGGCTCCTCTTGAGTAAGCTATTGACTAGATGGCTCGGCACATGCCCAGGATCTCATCTGAGATCCATTCTCAGGTGAACCCTAGAGAGTCAAATGCTGGTATTATGGTCTGGCAAGCAGAGTAGTACCTATGGAGCTGGCAACCTGGACTATAAGAAGTGAGGTGCCAGTGCTGTGTGCAGGGCCGACAAGCCACTCATTGCCAGTGATGTTTTCCTCACAGAGCCCCAGCCTTCTAAAGCCCTCTTTCTCCTCAGCAGCCAACATGACAGAGCTACAGACACTCTTGCCTGCTTCGTCTCCTGGCCACCATTCTTCCCCGGAGTCTGAAGACTGTCTAGAGCCACGCTTCTCCATGAGGTGCTGTTGCCAAAGCCGGGGTTCTTGCTTCCTGACAAGGCATTGTGTGGGGATGTATAGCAAATGGAAGTCCACTCTGGCATCAGCACCCACATGCCCTGACTGTGGAGGGCACACAAATAGATGTTGCCTACCTTAAATTTCAACAGGGTGATCGATCCCTCTAGCTCACCTTCAAGACCTGGCTGGAGGAAGACTCACCCAGGTCAGATCACAGTCAGTTTTTTATGCATAAATAAATTCCATGGCCCCTCTACAAGTCCTCCAGGCCCTCCTGTCAGTCATCCATGCCAAGTACCACCCCTGTGGCTATTAACTGCATTGTAGTTCTTAAAGACATTTTTTAAAGATTTATTTACTTATTCTGTATACAGTGTTCTGCCTGCATGTATGCCTGTATGCCAGAAGAGGGTGCCAGATCTTATTGTAGATGGTCATGAGCCACCATGTGGTTGCTGGGAATTGAACTCAGGACCTCTGGAAGAGCAGCCAGTGCTCTCAACCTCTGAGCTCTATCTCTAGCCCTTAAATATATATATTTTTAAAAGAACTTATATCACTCTGTTCTGAGAAAAAAGGAGAACCCTTCGTTATAATTAGGAGGTAGTGTACAAACATGTAACAGTGGGGACATGTTCAAAGACATGCTGAGGGCAGGGACAGTGTCAGACCCTGTCTGTATCATGTCTTTATCATGCACACCTTTGGTAAATATTACCGCATGAAATAGACACAGGAAGGTAATAACAATAACGAAAGGGAACAGTTATAGCAGTACACAGGATAAAGATCATTTAAAGTAATTCTAATTCTAGGATTTTAATTCTAGGATTTCCCATTCAAAACCCCCACACTGCAGTTAACTGGGGGTAACTGTAACTCTGGAAATCAAAAGCACAGAAGGGGGGCTATTACTCAATAAATGTAATGGGGTGCCACTAAATTACAGGTAGACTCTGTTTACAAAGACTTCTGAAGATGACCCTGGTCATTGCATTTGGAAGGAGGCTGATGTGTGTAGGTTTCTCTGTGATATACTCATCGCCCTGGACAGAATAGAAGAGACCCTCACACCATGTGACTCTGGCCGGGCACAGTCATGACTCATGCTGGGGCTGCCTTCCTTATCCACTCATTGCCCGGCATAGGACCTGAATGATGGGGATTTGGTCTAATGATACTGGCTAAGCCAGTGACATGGGGCTCAGACAGGATGGAGCCTTTGTGTCCTGGGATTCAGAGTTTGGTTTAGAGTTTGGCATAGATCTTAAAAGATGATCAGGAAGGAAACACTGAGGAAGGTGACGGACCAAGAAAGAACATGAGAGCTTAAGCATGCCCCTTCTTCTGTCCCACTCCTGGGACACATCCTGACTGCCAATCTCTCTTCCATCAAGTACTCTCATGGCCAGCAGTGTGAAGATAATCTCCCAGTCGGTTAACTGTCACCATTTTGCTTGTCTGCTGACCTAATCCCTAACCCTTCCATGGATCCCTATCACCCAAGGCACAAAGCTGTGTGGTCCTTCAAAGACATTCAGATCGACTTCTCTTGCTATATCTGACTGCGCCAAACCTTTTGCACCATGCACTGTTGACCCAAGTGGTCCACTGCCCCCAACCCTCTTAGGCTTCCCCCTCTCCCTTCTTCTTGGCAGGCTTGCTCACATCCCCCAGGTCTACTCTGACCCTAGGTTTCCCTAGGCTTCTCCTCTTCGCTCTGTTGTACCTAGGGAGCGTACCATGTCCACTAGTCCATTGTGCCACTCACACAGCTGGGTCTTAAGCTCTCTGAGGCCCATACTTCTCTCATAGTATTCCTCTCCCGTGCCTGACAGGAGGAAGAGCCAGCACCTCAACTTCTATAAAGACCTGTGGAGCAAGGGGCCGTTCCACCTGGAAAATACTTACTAATAGTAGATATCAAATCTTGAAACCTTTCCTTAGGAAAGAGTGGGTTTTCCAGTCCTCGGAAATACAGTTTTAAAACACCAGCGACTGAATTGATATCTCGCTCATTTTGGTCGTCCACGAGGGGGTCTTCACCTGTGTGGAGACAATGTTTTAGGCTGGTGAGAAAAGGCAATCTCTCTCCAATATTGGAAGATACTCTGTTGTCAGGTGGAATAGGAGGTGACCTGGCCAGCCTGGACAGGAGAAAAAGAGGATGAGACAAGTCTGAGAACATGCGATCCTCAGTCTTGGCATGTTTTAAATTTCCTATTAGAAAATGTTCAAATCCTCAGAAAAGGGATAAGCATCCAATCATAAATGTCTATCACCTTTTACTCTCCCCTTTCTTGAGTTTTCTCTTTATTATATACACCATGGCTCAAAGATCTGAGAACTTTTGACATCATAACACATTTCTCTTAAGGATCAGCATATTCTCAGCTAACAATAACTTTATCTAACTCAAGAAAGAGACGATCCCTCCAAAAATAACATCGCACACAGCCCACATTCAAACCCCACCCACTAGGTCTGTCATGAAATTTTGTTTTCGAAATAAAAGCACTATTCTGAGTTCCCACAATTCATTTAGGAGTTGGTAGTTGTTCTTTCTTTCTTTCTTTCTGTTTGTTTGTTTGTTTGTTTGTTTGAGACATGGTCTCCATGTAGCCCTGGATGGCCTGGAACTTGGGATAATCCTTCTGCTTCTGCTCCCAAATGCTGAGATTTCAGGCGTGTGGTTTTATATGTATAAAATAAACACCAATGTTCTTTGAGTGCTAAGTTTGTGTTTGATGATGTAGTCCTTTCTGTCTCATAGAAGACAGAATTGCCTCATAATCCGGCTTTCTCTTATTTTCCTCATGACGTGATTCAGGTTGACTACTTTGGGCAAGAATACAGAGACACACATGCCATATGTGCCCTGCTACTGGTGACAGAACACCAGGTTAAGGGGTTAGCTTTTTTTTTTTTTTTCTTTAAACACCACAAAGGTATTTCCTTTGTGTAACAAACGTGAGACCTGTGAAGTGAGACTTGAAGTCCTGGCCCTTTATGCCTGCCTGAGTCCCAGTGCAGCACGACACAGCCCATGGAGTCAGTCTCCAGTCTTGCCTTGTTACCCTAGGAGCTCACTGATTTGGTCAGCCTGGCTGGTCAGGGAGCTCAGACAGCCACTTGTCTGGACTCCCCAAAACTGGGGTTTCAGAAACCTACTGCTGCTCCTGGCTTCTACATAGATGCTGGGCATCTGAACTCAGGCCCTCAGCCCCTCAGCCCCCCAAAGTTTCTCAGAGAGAAGGCCCAACTTTAACCCTTTCCCTCACACCGTACACAACACCATTTTCTTTAGTCTGACTTGCCTGCTGTGTTTCCTCTATAGCAGATAAGCAAATACACGTACATTCATCCCTCCCTACTCATACGCTACATGTCTGTGGATTCAACAAAAGCTAATGAAGATATTTTGAAGAAAAGATTGCTTCTGGGAACCAGGGAGATGGATCAGTGGGTGGCTTGCTGCACGGCATCTTGATCCCAAGCATCCATATAGAAAGACAGATGTGGTAGTGTGTGTAATCCAGCACTGAGGAGGGGTAGACAGGAGAGCCCCTACAGTTCTGAAGCCAGCCAGTCTAGCCAATCAGCAAGTTCCAGATTCAGTGAGGGGCTGGGTCTCAAACATATAAGGTGAAGAAGGAAGACACTTAATGTTGACTTCCGGCCTCCATGCAGGCGCGCACACGCACACACACACCCCGAACACTCGAGATCCTGCCTGCACTGAACGCATGCAAACTTGTTTTTTGTATCTCTTCCCTAGGCAACAGTTTAACCACCACATATGGTGTTTCCATTGCATTGAGCATCGTGAGTCATCTACAGAGGATGGGTGGATGTGCCTGCTGTGTGTGTGTGTGGGGGGGGGGGGGGTCAATAAAAATCCGACATTTCAGAAATGCCCTGAGCACTGTTGGTTTTCTGTCTTCTAGGGTGGTTCTTGAGCCAGCACTCTAAGGATGGGGACGGCTGTCTATGTTCTTTAGACCCTTACTTCTTACATAGAATGCCATTCACTCCTTACGTAAACTTGTTCCTTAGTGTCAGAAAATTCTGGAAATCTCTCCAAATTACTTCCCAGAAGTCTTCTCTCTCTCTAATGGTGGTGAAGAACCCTGTTACATAGGGAGGCCATGCTTGACTCCCTTGACTTCTTACAGGTCTACATTTAACTTAATATTTAGATTATTAATTATTTATTTAGTTATTTGTACGTATATAAGAAGGCACACACCTGGAGGTCAGAGGACAATTTGCAGAAGTCAATTTTTTCTACCATATGGAACCCAGGAATCAAACTTGGGTCATTAGGCTTAGAAACAAGTGCAATTATCCATTGAGTCATATCACCAGCCCCACATTGACTTCTTTAAGTCTCCTGCTGTGGTAAACACTGCCATGGTGAATACCCTGCATGTGTGCATTTGTATTTGTGGAGGCAGGTCTCTTCTCAGTTCCTGGAAGTGGGCACACTGGGTCATCTTGGGTGTGGTTCCTCACCTATAATCAAAGCCCTCTCATGGGGCCATACCTTTATACTCCTGCTAATGACAACTTCTTGAGAAGGCTGTCTTCTCCAGCTCTGCCCAAGGCATATTGCCAATCTCTCGAATTTTTGTCAGTTGGATGGGAAAATATGGCATTTCAGAGGAGTGGCTCTGCAGCTTAACTGAGGACTGCTAAGCTGCTCTATTACTGGGAATTTTCCTGGGGGAAGTGAAAGGAAGCAGAGAATAATCTAACACCTCCCTGAAGGTGTTGAGGGAGGTTTGCACTAACAGCCAGAATACCTGGCAAGCCATGAACAGATCTGGTACCCAACTTGGATCTCTTTCCTCTGCTTTCAGAGGAAGTGGACATGTGTCAGCGGCAGCCTCTTCTAGTCACAATGAGTTGAGTGCCAATCAGAGAAAGTCTTCTCCTGTTCTGTACTGGGGCTTGCAGCTTATAGAGCATGAGCCAGAGATAGCTCCCATCTGCCCTGAATAAGTGTATGTGGCAACCCAAACACTAGTGTTTCCTAGGTTAACCTCTCAGATGTCCCCACCAAGGAGGTGAGAATGTTTCTCCCATAATACTTTCTTATGGGGAAGGAAGAAAGAACACATTTAAACATAACTGCTTTATTAACATGTTAATTTTCTATGTGTATATACACAGACCTATACATGCATGCATACACACACACATTGTCATCATTATCATCATCATCATCACCATCACCATCATCATCATCATCAGTTCTTGCCTGTCTCCCAGAAGGCACTCCGTCCCTGAATGGAATTACCCTGGTGTTCCCTACCATCAGTCCAAACCTCCGGTCTTCTGCAAGACCAGTCTATCTGGATCAGGAATGACAATTCAAAGCTGAAGAACATGTAGATGATGGCTTTATCTAGAAGGAGAAGGAGAGCTAATGTTCCAGGTAAGCCTGATGGAAAGCTATGTCCCACTAACGAATCCTAGCGGAGGACTGAACTCCAATGCAATATGTCTTCCCAAAGAACAAGGCAGCTGGGAGAGGGAGAATCATTGTGGAATGAGAGAAGGAGAGGAACCAACTGCAAATATGGAAGAAAACAGAGAACTTTTTGTTTCTTTTTTCTCTTTCTCCTTCCTTCCTTCCTTTCTTCATCCTTCCTTCCTTCTTTCTTTCTTTTTCTGTGGCTTTGATGTGGGTCAGGAGATTCCCACTAGATGGGGACCCAAGCCTTGACAAGAGCAGGGAATCCTTTTCACTCACATGTCAGCTCTACACGGTACCCAAGCAAGCGGCAGGAAGTGCTGGCCTCAGCTGGGAGCTGGGGAAAGGCTGGGGTTGCCCATTGCCACAGCTCACCAACAGAGAAAGAGAACACAGGGAAAGGTTGGGGTGAGGTCCTGCCAGGGTGCCAGTCCTCCCCAAGGAGCACACCGGAGAATGCAAACAGGGAAGGTTCTAGAACAGTGTTCTGTCCATTTACAAAACTGAGGATCGAGGTCACCGTGGTGTCGAAAGGGGTGAGGAGTAGATTCTGGCCTGTCCCATCAGTGACATCAGGAGAGGTCGGGGCAGTGAGGCATGACACTGACTTCCTGGCTTTGCACATGTTGTTCCCTTGGCTTGGATGCCTTCCCTTCCCTTTGCTTCCCTTGGCCCTCTGCGTCAAGCCTCAGCTGAGGCACTTCCTCCCTGGAAGCCATCCCTGGCTCTTCTCTCCTTTCCTCCATGCAGTCAGGATCAGGGGCTCCCATACTAACCAGTATTCACTCCATTCTGGCTCAGACGCACCATCTGTTTATTAACCTGGCCTCCCCATTTGTAAGGACAGTTCTGCTTGGATTGTATTTCCAGGCCCTGGTCCATGGTCTCCTACAGTGGAGGGTTTGCTGCATGCTTGCTGAGTGAACAAATGACTGACAGCTGCTAAAAGCAGCAGCATTCGGGGGCCTTCTGGTGTTAAATGCCCAGCATCCTGGAATGTTCTCCAGTGATAAAGCTTCTCTGTCCCCTAGGAGGCCACTGGGCACCACAGCCAGTCAGATTTGCTCTCAATTCCCAAGACTGCAGACTGCTTCCTCTACCCTGAAGTCGGACATGCTCTATAGTAGAACTGAGGGTCTGGTAGATAGAGGCTTCACACCTTCAAGGAAGATAATAAATGTGGGAACTGGATGGGTGCAAGTCTCACAGGGACTTGCTCAGAGCTCTGCCAATGGCATCACACCATACACTCCTAAGCCAAGGAGGCTCCCATAAAAACAGATAAGAAAGTGCCTGCTAACCAGACCTGGAGAAGCTGAAGCAGGAGGCTCACAAAGAGTTCAAGGCTATGAAGCATGCCCCAGCCAGCTGAGTATCAAGAAAGGAAAAGGGAAAGGATGCATTTTTCTTATTCACTGCCCACTGGGATGGGATGTGCTGCTGGGACATGGTTCTGGGATCAGAGTCCTCAGCATCAGAACCACGCAGAGAATAAGGAAATAAGTCAGAATGAGGAGGGACGTACTACCTGTCTTTCCAAAATGGCATGAAACTGGATGCAGGGATTCAGTCTGGGTTGCCTGCTACCCAGCTCTTCTTCCTGTCCCTGAACTGAGGATGTGGGATGACCAGCGTGGGGCTTGGCTCGAGAGCCGGGGATTGAGATGTCTGAATGTGTTTTCTTGACTAAAAAGGCCTGGATTTCCAGTTCTACTGTGCAGCAAGCTAGGCACTGTGCAGGTGAAGGAGGACATTTGAGAAGTGAGCCTCTCATGGCACGGTGGGTCCTTCCTTTTCAGGGACACTGCCACTAGCCACCTGTCCTCGTCAGCAAGTCTGAGGCCAAGGGAGGCTGTACTCGGTCAATCATACGTGCCTGTCCTGTCCTTACCACCTCTGTGTCTTATCCTCGATTAAGTGGGAACTTGGAGGGGGACAGGAAAATGCAGGGTTGATTCCTCCTATTGTGTAAGCTGCCAAGAACCAGTGTATTGGAAAAACAAAGAACTGGGTCGTTCTAGAAGCCACTCTCCATCTCCCAACTTTCCTAAGGTGTAGTTTCCTTTATACACAGAAACATGCCAAACTTCCTTCCAGGGTCTTCCTCCCAGACACCGTTGTAAAGCCCACTGGAGAGTTACCAGTAAGCAGTTACAGCTCAGGATGAGTATCCTTTATCCATCAACTTGACACAGCTAGAGTTACATGGGAAGAGGAAATGTCTCCATAAGATTGACCTTAATTAGTGATGGATGTGGGAGGGCCCAGCCCATTATGGATGATGCGACCCCTGGTAGAGGTGGTTCTGGGTTGTATAAGAAAGCAGGCTGAGCAAGCCAGTCTGCAGCATTCCTCCAAGCCTCTGCTTCAGTTCTGACTCCAGGTTCCTGCTTTGAGTTCCTGCCCTGATTTCTCCCAGTGATGGAGTGTGACCTGAGAGTTGCAAGCTTTCCTTTCCTCCTTTCCTCCCCAAGCTGCTTTTGGTCATGGTGTTTTATCACAACAATAAAAACCCTAACTAAGACAACAGAGTATGGGAGGCCCAGGGTGGTACCTCATGCCTGCAATTCCAGTAGGCAGAAGGTTCAGGACTTCAAAATCTGCCTTGGCTATGTAGTGAATTAGAAGCTAACCTGGGCTATCTGAGTGAGACTCTATCTCAAAACATAACGAGAAGCAGGCTGGGAAGATGGCTTAGTTGATGAAGTTCTTGACATGCATAAGGACTTGAGTTTGATCCCCTAAATCCATCTGTGTGAAAAATAAAAAGCAATCAAAATGTACAAAAATATAAATAAATAAATAAATAAATAAATACGTAAGTAAGTAAGTAAGTAAGTAAAACCCAAACCAGTCAGGCACAGTGGCATGCCCTTGAAATCCCAGTACTGAGGAGGTAAGGGCAGTCAGATCTCTGGGGCCAGCCATTCTATCCTAGTTTATGAGCTCTAGGCCAGTGAGATATAACCTGACTCAAAAAACAAGGTAGGCAGAACGTGTGAGATAACGCCTCTGGCCTCCACAAGCCATATGCTTTGCACATTCAAACACACACACACAAACATACACACCACACTCACAAGTGCATATGTATACCTGTACATACATGTATACTCACACAATCATGTAAACACACACAGTGTGTAGAAAGTCAGGTCTCCCACCTGTAATCTCAGCATTTGGAAAGTAGAGACAGGAGTATCAGCAAGAGTTTAAGGCTAGTCTAGACACTATCTCAAAAATAAAGTAAAATGAAGCAATGAAAGTATCAAACACTAAAATGGGCGGGGCCCAGAAGCTTTGGGATTTTAGAATTTGGGTGTCTTGGAGTGAGAGCAAGTATCCACATAAGAATCCACCTGAGTTGCACACACAGCCTGATGGTTCTTTGACAAGGTATCATTTGTGTAGCTGCGTCTTGGCTGTGTCTGGCCCACAAAGTCAAGTGTGGAACTTTCCACTTGTGTGTTACATCAACGCTTAAATGTGTGGACGTAGAACGTGGGATTAGCAATGTTCAGCATGTGGTAAAAGGAAAAGGGAGAAGAGCTGGACACTTAGAGGAGAACTGTTGAAAGGATCTTGGGGTTTGCCAATTTCCACGGCGCAAACACTACCAATATGGCTATTTCCAGCTACCGTCACTGTGTCATGGGATACAAAGTGAAGAAGAATATGAGCACACAGCTCTTGAAAGCCACTCTGGGACCAGGGCCCCTGTGCACCACTGGCTCTGAGCCCTGTTAACCCTGGCTTCTCCTGCCTCACAAGCTTGAGACGGTCAGTCCATACTCACCTCTCTCAAAGGAATTCTTGATGTCATTGACTTCAACTTGAGACCCTGGAACTCTGAATATTCCCTGCTGCTGGAGTCCTAAAAAAGAAATAACAACACAAGCAAACAGTACATGTAAATAACACAAGGCCTAGAGTTCATCTGGCTCCTGGAATGACTGGCGGTTCTCTCCCATGCTTATCTCTTTCTCCTTCCATCTTTTATAACAGCCATTCCTGGTGACAGCTCCTAGCTGAAACCCCAAGCGAGCATTGACAATGAACTACAGCTGGCCCCAATACTCAGACACGTGCAGAGTTTCATGTCTGTGAACTTGCTCCTGGTTCTGAAGGAAAATGCTGCCAACTACTCCTCCCCTCCCACTTGGGTAACTTCTTGTCTTAAGAAAAGCTAAACTTCAGAGTACATCCTGACCTGGGACTGGGGAGTCAGAGGGTTGGAGGCACAGCCCAGGGGCAGAGTGCTTTGTCTTGTGGATACTAGGCCCTGGGTTAGGTCCCCAGCACCAAAAAATAATAAATACAATAAACTGGTTAGCTGGGCAGAATTGCTCATATTATAGTCCCAGCATTATCAAAGCTGAAACTGAGGCAGGAAGATTTTTCAGAGTTCAAGGACTGCCTGGGCTATAGAATAGCACCCCTTTCCAAGAAAGAAAAAGGAAAGGGCATGGACTCAATATTAAAGAGCAGCCACGCTGCTCAAAGTGGAGTCTGACAGGTGGAGCTGTGAGGACCTAACAGCGACCCACACAATTGCAGGAATCAGAGGACCCGCCTCTTTCAAATGAAAATGACTGCAGACTCTGGGTACCTTTCCCTGTCTCGGTTGTTTTGGATAGAACAATTCTTCATGCTACAATTTATTGTTTCCCCTTAAAGGTAAGGGTTTAGTGGACATTGGCATGGGCATGCTATGTGCTTTGGTTGTTGGTTTTTTTTTGTGTGTGTGTCTGCTTATTTAAGCCTTTTCCACCAAGGCTAGCCACTAGATGGCCAGGCTGATACCAACAGCTTCGAAATTTTCTTCATGTGTCATGCTTACTGTTAAACAAGGTATGCACCTGGATATTTAAGTTGTGACATGATGTGTCCAGGCTAACCTCAAACTTACAAGGTAGCCCAGGCCAGCCTCCAACTCCTGGTGATCCTTCTGCCTCAGGCTCCCTAATGCTGAGATGGCAAGCATACATAATCACTTTTGAGTGTGGTTTTGTTTAGCATTTCTACCACCCCAGAATCTTCTCCCACTCTTCTGGGTCATTAGCCCTAACCACCCCACTGCCCTTCCTTCGGCCTGCCATTCCCCATTCTCCCCACCCCAGTTGCATGGCTGCTTTCCTTGGGGTTCTTCTCCCACTTCAGTCAAGCAGCCTACCCTCCAAAGTCACCATCTATCCTCCTTTTAATTAGTTTCATGGCCGTGTCACTATGAGACATTATATTATAGTCTACCATATCCATGAGCTACTATGTTTAGTGACTCAACTAACAGCAGCTTGGAAATTCAAGAAAAAGTTGCATCTGTATTAGACATGTATAGATACTGTTTTACTAGTCCCCAGACAACATGATTATTTCCATAGGATTTGGTCCTATCTGTCTCTCTGGGTGGCTTACTGTCTATGGGAAGATTATATGGGTTATGCGTAAAAGCCACAGTATTTTATACAATGGACTTTGGAGTCTGCTGATCTGGAGGTCTGCAGTGGTCCGAGATCTAATCCCTAGAGATGCTAACGGGTGACTACACTTCTTTTCCTGCTATGGACTTCCTTGTTCTGAGACTGTTACCCTGCAGGGATGACATGGTACTTGTTTCTACTGCTCCTGCATTCCTCACAGCCAAAATGGAGCCTGTTATGTTTTGAGGTGACTGAGTAAGTTAAACACAAGTTGCCTTCTGGTAACATCATGGTTAACTAATTCCCAACACCATTCCCTTCATGGCGCTTACAGCGTATCAACCCGAATGACTCTGAGTGAGGACAGAGCTGAAATAGTCCTTCTGTCCATGCCATGTGTGCTGGGCCCCTCACACAACCTTCCTTCTCCCACCCCGGACACAGACATGCAGACTCCAAAGACAGTGCTCCAGGTACCAGCCATTCTCTGGAGCAGAGCGAGGACAGGAAGTCTTCTAGGATGACGGAGACTATCATTTTCCCCCAGAACAGTCCAGCACCTGTTCCACAGTGAACTGAACACAGTGAGCTGAGATGGCACTTACCATATAAATTGATGAATCGAATACAGCTCTCAACTACCAGTGGTATAGCTTGTCCTGAATCCTTAAGAAAGAAAAAAAATGTGAGTTCTATCAGGCTTGGCATCCAACCACAGGCAAAAGACATCACAAACATGATGATCAGGTCAAGCCAGAAGATTAGTACCACGTGATTAGTAGGAAAACAAGCAAGGAACTGCTAACTCTAGTCTCCGGGAATAGTTACTGTACAGCCTTTGGTTAAGTGCAGAAGAAGGAAGGCCTAGGCTAAAGTCAAAGAAATGCTCTCTCTTCTTACCCAGCTTGACAGGCACACTGGGGGCAGGAGAGATGGAAGCCAGTGTGTGGAGGGGGCTGCAGTCTGAGCTTGAAGGATGGCCTGACTTCTCCCACCTCCACTTTGCCCAAGCTCAGCATCTTTTCCCAGGGCTTGGGGACGAAGAGGCAGGATCAATACCTCTCTCTATTACTAAGGTGTCTCATGTCAGAACACATTGTGGGTGAGGAAGGCCTGGCCCTTACAAGCCCTGTGAGGCTCTAAGAAGGGAAGGTGAATCTTATTCATACTGTTTCAACTTAAATACCCAGGTACATATTTTGCTTAACAATAAGCATGGGCATGGTATGTGGAGAAGTTCTAGAAGAGTTAATATCAGACATTGGCTATCTGGTGGCTAACCACAATTAAAAAGGCTGAATAGGATGTAATTTAAATAGTTGTACCTAGGATGTGAAAGGACATTCAATTACACCTTTCTAGATTAGTCTACAGTTCCTAGTTGGGCAAGGGTCAATTTTCTTTCAGGGTTCTAAAGCTGGGTGACCTGTTGTTACTTCAGGTCACATCATGAGTACCATTTAAAACACAAAACAAAGCTTTCTTTTAAAAGGGCCACATGAAGTCACTAGCCTCCCCAGAAGCTAGTAACTTGGTGGGCTCCTGGCTCCGCCACACCCCCCACCTGCTGATGCTGCATCTGGGGGTTGGATAGGAGACAGGCCCACCAAGCAGCAGGGCACGTGGACCTCGCTCTAAAAGGCATCCATCTACTAGTTGCATGGGGCTTGTGGGCCTATCTAGTAAATACCTGGTTCCTGGTTCGAGCATTTCTTCTTCCTCTGATAACAAAAAGAGAAACAGGCAGCAAAGCAGGAGAAAAAGAAAAGATTATGCAGGAGTAAGATCAGTTCGAGTGTGCAGATCCTTCAGAGTCCGTGAATGCCAAAATGCAATGGCAGCCAGCAATGGGCCTGGGGCATTTGCCCGATAGCCTGCCCACGGGGAGGGGTCTCAGCCTTGGGGCCTCCTAGGACTTCTGGAGCAGTCCCCAGCCAGCCTTCTAATAGGCGGCCTAGCCTCTTTCCCAGATATCAGCGATGGAGGGGCCTCTTTCAGTCCTTGTCAAAATGTAGGAAATGTGTTTCAACCTCATTCTCAGATCCATGTCTAGTTTCTCCTCAACACAAGGCATTCACCAATGAGCAAGAGTCCACTGAAGACCTACAAGGTTAGCCTATCTGCCCACAGAAGGGATCCTTCATGTCTATTCCAAGCTGTCTTAGAATTCACCTCTGGAATGTTCATTCTTGGACTGATACTCTACTTCACAAAATCTCCTTAGACATGATCCAGCAGGTTGCACCAGATTCCAGACTCCAAACACACCCAATACCTTCATAACCTTCTCTGGGTGGAAGCGTGGTTCTGCTCCCCTTCCCAATCCTTTACTGTCACCCTGGCACCAAGACCCTCTAGGAACACAGAAGCTGGGAAGGATGAGGAGGGAGAGAGTAAGTTGGAACACCTTTGCAACCTTGAGGGTGCACTGAAGTCTTTCTTCCCACATTGGGAGTGTCTGCCCGATTTTTCTGGTCATGTGGGCAGTGACTTGAGGGTCTAGGTGGGAGCTGAGTCACACCCAAGCTCAGTGAAGGAGCCAAGTTGACTAAAGGGACATGTGACTTCTTGGGGCACAATATGTCCAGTTTTGCCATCTCAACAATTGGGATCTGAGTTGCCATGATGTCAGCTAAACCCACATGACTTCCAGAACCCAGCAATAGCCTGGTCCAAAGGGACTCTAGATGGTGTCCTAAAATGAAAAATAGATCAGGCTTTCACAGTGCCAGGAGTGTATCAGCTCATTCTATGCTCTCCTAAACTCACAGGGTAGAAGATTACTCTCATTTTATAGAAGCAAGATGGGGACTCTCCACCAACCCCACAGGTGGACCTTCTAGGCATTACCATGGACTTTTAATATAAATGGAGTCTCCTTAAGTCTGAGAGGATAAAAACACAAGGGTTTTGGGTTTTTTTAAGGGCTTGTCTCAGGTAGAGTCCAGGAAGTTCATAAGTCTGACTCCAAAAATACTTCTCCATAATTGACTTGGAGCTCCTCTCTTTGTTCTGCTAGGGCATTACAATCCCAGCAACACAGTGGGATTATTTGACCAAAACTCTGTCCATAGGCCTGTGTTTTCAAAGCTGAGGACTCTGTTGTACGTTCAGACATATGAAGGTGTGTGTGTGTGTGTGTGTGTGTGTGTGTGTGTGTGTGTGTGTGTGTTCCTACGTATGTATGTATGTGCCAAAGGTCAACCTCATAAGTCATTCCTCGAGCACCAGCCACCTTGACTTTGAACTTTCTAATTAGGCTAGGCTGGCAGCCAGAGAGCCCTTGGCATCCATCTGACTCCCTAGTGCTAGGATTCCAAGTGTGTAGGGATTGAACTCATGGCCTCATGCTTGCATGCCATGCCTTGTAATTACCACGCCATCACCTCAGCCCTGTAGGGGACCAAAGTATCCATTCTAACAGGAAGTTTTGGCACCAACGATAAAGGCTGCGTAACAGGCTCTAAAGAAGATTAGCCAAAACGCCATTGGGCCATAGTGATGTGGTAGAATAGTAAGATGGCTTCCCAAAGTAACCATCTGAAGGGGCAGACAAACACGGAGCTGAATAAGGTCTAAAGTGTCGGTCAGGTGCACTGTCAAGTTGCTTTATTGTCACACTAGGAAGATAGTGAGTTCCACTAAAGATACGACTTTGAAATAGTGTCAAATAAGAGTCAGTTTCTTCCATGTATACTAACTGATCTTCCATTTCCAGAGATCAGAGACACTCGGGGGAGGAGTCCCCATCTCAGATCTCATTGCATCTTTCCCTCCTTCAGGGACCCCTTCTGTCCCGATCCTCTCTTTATTTCCCGCCCCCTATCTTTCCAAGCCCCTGGCAAGGCCACCTGGGCCCCAGCTCACAGCTTTTCTTGCTCTGAATTGCAACAGCATGTTCCTGTGGGACTTCCCATGTGCCTCTCCTGCACTCTTGGCCCTGTGCTAGGCTCTGTAAAGATGGGAAGTGATCAGCCAGCTCCTTTGCAGCCTGGAGAGTGGCTCAGCCAGGAGCAAGGGTGAGTGAGAGGGAAGCACAGGGGAAGACAGAGGCTGATGAAGAAACAAAGCACTCTTCTGACACAGCCCCACCTGCCATGACCCACTGAGTGACTCCCTGTGAGTCACACAGTTCCTGAGGGACCTCTAATTTGGGGCCCTCAGTCCTCTGAGGCATCCTAAGGCATCCCCCACTGTCCCTGTTCAGAGGAAATCTCTTCTTCTCTTTCTCTAGCTCTTGTGCTGTTCTGAGGACTCAGTCTACAGGCAGAGGTAGTCCTTTAACCTCGGATGGCCCTGCCTACCCGACCCATCCCGGGGCTGACTTCTGCATGTCTGTAGCCCTTCTCTGTCCGCCAGGTCTGGCTGCACCCTGCCAGAGGCCAGAGGCCAGAGGCCAGAGTCCTGGTGCATGGGGTCAGCCCCTGTAACTCCAAAATCATGACTGATGCCATGAGACTCTACCCTTCCCTACCTACAGTAGTCCTCTTTTCTGCAGAAATTGTCTTCATTGGCTAGTGGTGGGCTTTCAAACAACTGGCGATGATCTCCCCTCCCTTTTCCCCAAGAACACATCTTGACTCTAACACCATCTTTGTCTTGTTCAGTTTGATCCTGAATGCCTTGATCTTATACCCACTGAGGGTAGGGACAGGAAAAATTAACTCGCTTAGCTGAGACATTCAAGTTTTAACTTCAGCTCAATGTCAAGGGTTAAGCTAACACTTAGGACTACCTCAACTCTACTCCCACCTTTCAAAGCAACTACCCAAAGCCAAATTCAGTGGGAGAAACTCTTCTTGTGAGAACTCCACGGCTTCCCATGCTCGTAGATAGTTAGCTAACAAAGGGTAGTTGTCTTGTATGGAAACCCACAGGGGCTCCCTTGGTGCTGTTCTCAATCAGTCTCCTATTGTGGGAGGAGGGAGTGAAGCTGAGTGATGGAGTTTCCTCAGCTGCCCTTCAGGTGTTAGGACTGCAGCCCCTGCAGCAAATGAGGCCAGCTGGCTGGGACCACTGTGCTGACAGTCCACCTCCTTTGTGCCTACATGATCAGACCCCTCCCCTTACAGCTGAGGTGAATGGCCATGCAGGGACCACTAGTCAGAAGCAGAGTTCTCCAACGGAATGCCTCACGGAAGCCAAGAACAGACTACAGTGAGAAGCTAGCTCCGTGGGGCCTGGCTAAGGGCTGACGGCTGGAGCTGGAAGGGACAGGGAGAAGAGAGGCTGCCATTACTTTGGACTCATTCGCGGACTCTACGGCTCCCCAGCAAGTACCTTAATGAATGCTTCCATACTGCCGTTAAAGAGTTTATGGCTATACACTGAAAGAGGCCTAGGTCTCCTCATTTTCTGTGGTTTAGGGGGAAGACAGGGGGGCCTAGGGGAAAACGGAACAAAAGAAATCAAGAAAGCAACCAACATAAACATACCACTGGGAGAGATGCTCTTCAAACCCACAACTGGAGGAAAACACAAAACACAGAGGGGAGCCTCTGGACCCCAACACACTGGTTTCCCATGTTCCATCTGAAGGCCTCCGGATGTTTTAGATCTTAGTTTACCACAATGCCAAGCAGGAGCAACACTCACAAAACACAAATGCATTCTACGTTCTCGGGGGATGGGATGAATCCAAGAAGCTCCTGCAATGCCAACCAGAGGATGGCATCCTGCAGACCAGATGAAGGGGGTCAGGGGAGAGAGGTGTCATCTGTAGTCCAAGAAAGCAAGAGACTTTCGAACATAACCAAGAGGGTTAATTTTCATAATTTTGGCTTAAATCTATCACCAAGGCCCAACTCCCAATGCACTGGGGGCATTGTCTTCCTAATGCCTCTTGGTATTTCAAAAGCATATGACTCATGTTTATTGCATAGATCTGAGAGCCAGACAGCTAGATGCCAGGAGGCAAGCTGCAGCTTCTTTAGGATCTGTAGGTGGCCTGGGATGTTATTATCCCACTCATCAATCAAGTACATTTTTGATTGGAGCATTGTCAAATCCATTATCACACTTAACCCGGTATCTTCCCATTACACATGGTTCTATCTACAGAAAGGAAGGCCCAGAGAGAGCATCAGTCAGACATACCTCCATTCCCCTTCCCCTCCAAGTTCAGGTTTTTTTTTTGGGGGGGGGTTGTTTGTTTGTTTTTTTAATTTCAAGTCATGGACATGGCACTGGGACACCTTGTCATTTCTAATGGCAGACTCATCTGTCCCATTAGTCCTTGTCACAGGGGTCAGGTTGAAAGTGTCTTGCTTTGCTTTCAGATCTCTGTTCCCTGTGTTCTGCTGTTATCCACAGGGAGGGGAAACCTTATACCACAGTCCATGAGGAACAATGAAATGGCCATAGACACTAGACCTGTGTCCACAGTTGCTCGCCATGCATAGGCCTGGGTTGGCTTATTTGCTCATTTCACTACATAAACTGGCCTGACTCAATGCTGCCGGCTCTCAGAGAGAAAGGCTTTAGAAAGATAGGGGGAAGCACCCTCACCAAACAAGGCAGTTCATTTTCAAATGGTTTGCTTCAAACTTTAGGAGCAACAGGTATATACTCAGCCAGGCAGATAATAGTCATATATGAGAAGCAAAAACCTTCCCCAAGTCTTGATTGATTGCTATATATGGGCAAGAATCTTCTGTATGTTTGTTTCTGAGACAGGGTCTCATGTAGTCCTGTCCAGCTATGTAGCTGAGTATGACCTAGGTTTTATGTGGTGTTAGCAATTGAAGTCAGGGCCTCATGCATGCTAAGCAAGCATTCTATCAACTAAGGTGCATGCCCAGCTCACAGGCAAGAATCATACGGACTTTAGAACCAATGCATGAATGAGGGTTGCCCTGCCTCTCTCCTGTGGATTTATTGTATTCATGTCCTTTAGCAGTCCAGCCATGCAGGACAATCTAGTCAAGTCCTCCTGGGTGTTCAAGTGTTGAGCAAAGGCTGCTAACTCCAGGACATGCATGGGCAAAGACACAGTTGAGTCCAAATAGCATGCCACCCAATCAAGAAAACCAAAAGAACAGCACAACCAAAATTCTGAAGAGAAACAACAGGCAAGATTATCTCCAGCCCATCTTGGATCTATGTGGATTTGGTTAGCTAAGTCCATGTCATTGCCTTTAAAAATGCATTACATCTTTTTTTTGAGGATGTGTGAAAACAGGGAGGGGGACTTGCATACAGTAGATCTGCTTTTGAGTTTTCAAGTGTAAAAGCCAAAAAATGATTGTCAGAAATGTGACACAAAGCCATAGGATCCAAATTTAGGGATTAAGAATAAGGAGGATACAATATCGCCTTTTGTTTTTGTAATGTTTTGGACTTCAGGGTCACTTCTTTATCTCACGTTGCAGGATCAACCTCCTCAGCAGCCTGGGCGGCAAAGGAGCCCACAGAGATTAAGGAACTTGCCCAAGGCCACACAGATGGGATCCGTCCAGAGCTGGGAGCCGAATGTAGTTCTTCCTGCTAGAGGCTCCAGCACGGGGATGAAGTTGAAAGAGTGATTTTGCCAACTGTCTATTAAGCTCTCGCGGCCGGCCAGAATGGGGACCTGGCATAGGTACTGAAAATACAGAATCAAGAGCTCCAGGGAACCCAGGTGCAAGGTTTTCATAAAAGAACTCACAGGGGTTCCTGTTTTTTTTTGTTGTTGTTGTTTGTTTGTTTGTTTGTTTGTTTGTTTTGCAGAGGAGAATAAAAGGAAATAAGTGTAGAGTATGCTTCCCCGTTTTTCCTGCCAAATCCAGAGTGTAAAAGAAAATGAAGTCGCAATGGTTAGTCCCTTTGTCCCCCCGTGGTGCACTGGAATCTCTGACAAGGAAACATAGCTATCCCAACTATGAATGACATCAAACCGGTATCGACTTACTGGAACGCTGGGTGGGACACAAAGTGGGGAGGGTGGGGGCAGCTCAGCCAGGGGAAGTGGGGCAGCCTAAGCCTTCCATCTCTTCTGCTGCTCAGTTGCAGAGCAAATAAAAAAAAAAAAAGGAAAGAAAGAAAGAGAGAGAGAAGCCGGGAAGACAGGAACAGAGAAGACCACAGAGGGGGAGGGAAAGGAAACCAGAGACCAATGTCCCCTTTCTGCCTTTCAGCTGGGAGGAAAATTAGCATCTGCTGGCAACACAGGCGTGGCCTCAGAATTAGTCTGTGACACAAAGTGAGTGATTAAGAATTTCCCCTAAACATCCCAACAGATGTGGGCGTCAATATCCAAAATGGTGGCAGTACTGATGCTCAACAGCAGGGGGGCTCTTGGAAACTGCAGTTGGATGTGCACTGAGCTGTATTTGATTGGCCATGACATCACCCAGCTCCCCTCTAATCAGGACTAGAGCCTCTTGTCAACCTGGTTAAGGAGGCCAACCTCTCTTCAAATCACAACGATTAACAACTGGTGTTTACATCCCACTTTGCCATGTTTAGCAGTTCTTCAAAATATATTAGCACATCTGGTCAGCCTGAATCCCAGGGCTGTGATGAATTGAGGGCATTAAAAAAATACAGCTCTTAAGTGTGAGAAAATGGCCATTTAAACAGGGGCAGAAGCAACTTGGCTGAGGGAGCCTGCTCTGATGATGGCCCCAGATGACCCTGACTGTGTCTGAGAATCTACAGTTGGCACAGCCAAGGTGCGGGGACATTACCAAGGACCTCTGAGACTCATTTTAAAACCACTTTCAGATTGAACAATGAGGTCCACAAGTTTAATAATGAGCCAGAAAGTATCTGGCTAGGTCTGAAATTTAGGACAGGACGCCTAAGTGGGAGGTCTAGCAACCTGAACTTGGGTTTCCCAGGCCCTAGGCCAAAGCAGGTGAGAAAGATATATATATATATATATCTTGGACTTTCCAGGGTTGAGGGATGAGTCTGAGACTGGGCCAAGAGATATATTATGGCCCCTGCCCCCATCATTTCACTGGAGCAAGCTCCTTCTGGCTGTATTTTGGAGATTAAGAGGCAGCGAGCCATGGCGTAATTCATCCCACTTTGGTGTAAAACAGCTTCTGTCCTCTGAGGACTATAGTAACATTCTCTTACCAGAAAAAAATAGTAACAAATTTGGGTTCTTCAAGAGTGGCCTGCCCATCTGCTGTTCCACATGTGGGAGGGTCCTTGCCTGTGAATCATCTCCATGTTCCCAAACTGCCTGGGCCCAGATAAACAGCTGGATTCCTGGAAAGCCCTAAATCTCCAGGTCCAATATATTAAACTCCACAGCTTCCCAAGCCTTTGCCACGCCTACTTGCTTCCCCAAGAGCAGGGGAGAGTTGAAGGGTCATCTTTGCTCTTGCCAAGTAGGACAGCTTTTCAGGATTCTGAGCCATTAGGAAGAATTGATTTGGAAGGAGATAATATCATTGAGTCACTGAGCCCTACTACATGAGGTAAAAAGTAGCTCCCAACTAAAAAGTAGCCACACATGATAGAGGGCAGACCTCCGGGCCACTGCTAGATTCATGGTGAAAACTCAGATGCCAGGGCAGTGCTGGCTGCTTAGGCATCTAAAGCCTATGAAAGGCTGAAAGCTGCTGAGTGAAAGTGTTCACTGGCTCTGGTGTGCTCAGGGAAAGCACAAAGGGAGATGCGGAAAAAGCTAGAAGGAAGCATGAGTTGCCTATATGATTGGCCTCGCCAGTCCATCCAGTTCCCACTGAACTTCAAGCCAAAGTATGATGGGCAGTGCGGGCGGAGGGGGGAGTGTAATCTGGGCACACATCCATGTGTATGCAGCATGCGCGTGGCCATCTGTGCACACTATCAGCCAACTGCAAAGCCTTTGCAACTGAGTTCCCAGGCTGGACCTGGACCACCTATAGGGAAGTTTGGGCAGTGGCCATGTAACATATCCAAGAGAAGAAGACAGCCACCCTGTGGCCTGTGGCCTCTGCTAGTGCCTTTAGACACCCTGGGATCCACTACCCTCCCACCGGACAGGGCATCTCCTGCTGTCCCAAAGCAGCTTGGAAAGCCCCCTCCTTGTGGCGAGCCTGCTGGAGCATGGCTTTGCCGGTCTAAAGCGAAAACAAGCAAGGCTGCCTCAGTAGCCACCGTACCCTCCCCCATCACCCCAAAGCCCCCAGAGGTGGTGAAAACTATCCAGCTTCCCTAATTCCCGAGAGGCTATCTTCAGCTTATACATCTACCCACCCACCGCATCCTCTCAGACTTCAGGCAGCCAGTACAAGGGCACAAGATTCCCCAACTCTCACCTGGTTGTGCCGCACTCTGCTCTCTCCCCTGGGGAAAGAAAACAAAATTGCATGTTGATGTTTAGTTGGCTTTGATTGTGGTTTTAACCAGAGAACTTTCTTTCCCTTAAAACAACAATATCAGAAAGATCTCACATGCCCATCTACAGTCCTTTATTCCTGCCTCCTGCCTCAGGCAACAGCTAATCTCCCTGTTTCTGCAGGTTTGATAGGCATTTCATAGAAAAGAAACACTCTCCTTGTGATTTCTCTCCTGAATCTGGCTTCTTTAGCTTACCATAATTTATCTGCAGTTCATCCATAGGTCATGATTCAGTAGTACATTTATTTTTATGGTTGAATAATATTCCATTGTGTGGACAGACCACAGTTTCCTTACCCACCTGTTGTGTAACAGGTTCCTCAGAGTTTGAAGCATTGCATCCTGTAGGGAAGCTCCTTAAGCAGGAAGGTAAACAACTCAAAGTACTTTCAGGAAGTCCCTGAAACTGAATAGATTCACTAGCCAACTCTCCCCTCTCCCGCCCACACCCTGGCCAAAGTAAATATAAAAGCTGAGAGTCCCTCTTAGACTGGAAGACAAGCTGCAAAGGAGACTTGATTGAGACCATACCAGCTGCCTGAAGAAGCAGAAACCAGCAGAGCTCCCTGGAAGAGGTTTAGACCAACTGAGGCACCTGGAAAGGACACTCTAACTTGTTGAGCTGCCTGAGAGCTGTACAGTGTGCTCCAGGTTTCCAGCTTTGTGACCTCTTCCCTGAGCTGGTGGTGGACCTTGTCGATGCAGCTGTTTTTGAGTCATTTCTGCTCCTGTAAGTAACCCCTCACCCATATTCCTATTAGTAACCCCAATAAAACTCATGGTTCACCAAGTCGGACTTTGGTCTGCTATGGTATCCCTATATGGGGTAAGTCACACAACGCTGCCCCCCAAGGATCTCATACTTTCAATGTTCCCCCAAATGCTCTTCCCATGTCCCCAAACTATTCCTATATAAGTCTTCGACATTTCCATAAGTGACCCCCTCACCTGACCACTTCAATTGGAAGTCAGAGAACAGCTCTTCAGAGCTCTCTGCCCTTCTTAACTTCAGTGGCCCACTCCCCTCCATCTCAGCATCACCATCTCAGCTTACTTCCCTCTATCTCAACCTCACCATCTCGGTCCACTCCCCTCCATCTCAACATCACTATCTCAGCTCACTTCCCTCCACCTCAGCATTACCATCTCGGTCCACTTCCCTCCATCTCAGCATTACCATCTTGGCCCATTCCCCTCCATCTCAGCATTACCATCTTGGCCCACTTCCCTCCATCTCAGCATCACCATCTCAGCCCACTCCCCTCCATCTCAGCATCACCATCTCGGTCCACTTCCCTCCAACTCAGCACTGCCATCTTAGCCCAGGTTCCCATCATCTCTAGCTGGAGTACTTGCCTTTAAAGTGGAATATTTCACTACAATCTATTCACAATCCAGCAGCCAAAGGAATAGCTTTGAACAGAATATGTCACATCTTCCTCTTGCTTTCTAGAGCCCACTGTCACACGTGGAATAGAACACAAGCCTCATACTCTGTATCCATAAGCTCTTCAAGCTACTGTTACATGTACATAGACTCCTTCCTCCTTTGGCCTTGAAGCCCCTGCCACAGAGTCCTTCTGCTAGGTCCCTAGCTTGTTTTCAGGGCTTATCTTGCCCATAACATTTGAAGGGCTGCCTCTTGCTAGCCTTTTGCATCTCAGCTGAAAAGGAGGATCCAGAGGAGAGCTTCCTCCATCTGAAGTAGACAAGGGTTTCCCCAGAGTTCCTCTGTCCACACTGTCTTCGACTACAGCTTCACTTGTTTACTGCCAGCCTGTTGTCATTAAAAAGTACCATGTTCTATGAGAGACTCACATCTGTTCACCAGGAGAGGTGGTGAAGAACAGGTCTCAGGTAGCCCAGGCTGGCCTCAATCTCACTATATAGCTGACACTGGCCTTGGACTCCTGACCCTCCCACTCTCACTTTCCAGGTGCTGGATTACAGGCATGCACCACCATGCTCTTAAAACTCCTAAAGGGATAGGAGATGCTGGGTTGATAGAAGTGCCCGAGTCCAGAGTCCCAGCACACACTTAAAATCTAGGTATGGCAGCATGTGTCTGGAGGCCCAGCACTGGAGGATGGATACGAGAGGCCCATGAGCCAGCCAGCCTAATGAACAGCAAGCTCCACGTTCAATGAGAGATTCTGTCTCAAAAGAGAAGTGGAGACCATACTATGCTGATCTCTGGCTTCCAAACATGAATGCAAAAGCAAATGTGCCTGCACACACATATGCACATGCTGTGGAATGCTGTTCTGTATGCTGCGAATGTATGTTGCTCTGATTGGTTGATAAATAAAATGCTGATTGGCCAGTAGCCAGGCAGAAAGTATAGGCGGGATAAGCAGACAAGGAGAATTCTGGGAGGAGCAAGGCTGAGTCAGGAGACACCAGCCAGCCACAGAAGAAGCAAGATGACAAGGCAGAACTGAGAAAAGACACCAAGCCACATGGCTAAACATCGATAAGAATTATGGATTAATTTAAGTGTAAGAGCTAGTCAGTAATAAGCCTGAGCTAATGGCCGAGCAGTTATAATTAATATTAAGCCTCCGTGAGATTATTTTATAAAAGGCTGTGGAACTGTGGGTGAGAGATTTGTCCCAATCTAAGGCCAGGCAGGACACAGGGAAACTTCCAGCAACATGCACACACACACACACACACACACACACACCCCTTTGCTAAATACCAAGGTTTTCAATGTTGTTTGGCACTAAGTATGAACTCATTAAAGGTTTATTGAGTGGGTAAGTGAAGGAAGAACCCCTCTGCCTTCAAGATGCTCCTTGAAAAGTGGCTATAATAGCCTATAAACAAGGGCATCCTGAAATAGGAGAACAAGTGTCACAACACCAGTGTACACAGAATACCATCCCCAGAACAACACACAAGCAAGGAGATCAGAGCGGGCAGAGTAACTTGCTCCAGTCCCTGATAAAGGGCAGTTTAGATTCCAACATAGGTTGTCTGACTTTACCTCTGCAAACCTGGTTCCACCCACACAAACAGGTAGAGGAAAGCAGATATTTACAGTAGAATTTGACTCAACCCAATGCCTTCTAAAGGTGGTACTTAGTTTTTAATAGTATCCCTTCCTTCTGGGCTATAGGGACCCCTTATCTTAGAAGACCTCCCTAAGTAGGAATGGAGTGCTCAAAACAAGGAGATAAACAGCATCTCCTTCTCCCACAAAACTGCATTGACAATGCAGAGGTCCAGGTCCTCATACAAAATTTTATCAAGTCACTGTGTGATCTGCACAGCTCACTGTCTTTCTTTGGGCCTTGACATCATCAGTTACATTATCCATCCAGGCACTATGGATGCTCACATCTATTATCTACCCAGGAACTGTGGACGTTTACATCCATGAGTTTCACTTGCTGAACAGCAATAATAGGGATTTGTTCCCCGGCACATCGATGTCTAAAAATGACCCCCATTTCCACAACACCCTGAGGAGAATAAAACTCCCCCACCTGAGGTCCTTTAAATCAGTGCTGCCAACATAAATGTACTGCAAGTCACAATTTCTAGAAGCCAAGGAGCAAAATAGCAAAGTAAAACAGGCAAGGTGAATTCAGTGCCTGATGATTTAAAATTGTATCCTGCTTGACCCAAGTTATCAAAATATTGTCATTTGTGTGTGTGTGTATGGTGTGTGTATATACATATATATGTTGTAGAATATTATTTTAAGGTGTGCTACATTTGTTTATGCTTTGTAACATCTTAATGATGCAAAGATGTGTTGCATTCATTTATGTTGCATGTATTTAACTCTGTGAAGCTGTGTTGCTTTGCCTGTCTAAAATACATGATGGTCTAATAAAGTGCTGAACAGTCAATTACAAGGCAGGAGAAAGAATAGGAGGGGCTGGCAAGCAGAGAGAATAAAAGAGGAGGAGAAATCTGGGAGAAAAAGAAGGAAGAGCAAGAAAAGGAGAGAGGACACCAGGGGCCAGCCACACAGCCAGCCACAGAGTAAGAGAAGGAAGGTATATAGAAGCAAAGAAGGAAAAAGCCCAGAGGCAAAAGGTAGATGGGATAACTTAAAGTTAAGGGAAACTGGCTAGAAACAAACCAAGCTAAGGCCGGGCATGTATAATTAAGAATAAGCCTCCATGTGTGATTTATTTGGGAATTGGATGGTGGGTCCCCCAAAAGACCAAAGAGCCCCCAAAAGAGAAAAAAAACCCAACAACATATATATGTATATATGTATACACACACATACATCAGTATCAAGCAAGATACTTTATATTCTCTTCCCTGTAAGCTAACTCTTCAGATTTTGTTCATTCTGCTCATCTCAATGAACATGACCAATCTGTGTTTCAAGTGTTCAGTGGCCAATGTGGTCCAAGGCCTTCACCTTGGAGATACAGCTCTAGATAGAATCTGACTCAATATCCGTATAAAGTTTTTTTGTTTGTTTTACTGTTGTTGATGCGGGGATGTGGGGGCAGAGTCTCATGTAGCACAGGTTAGCCTTATTATTTGATGGAGGATGGCCTTGAACTTTGGATCCTCTTGCCTCCACCTTCCACAGGCTAGGATTACAGTAGCTGTTTTTATGCTGCCTTAAGTATTGAACTCAGGGCTTTGTGCATGGTAGACAAGCATTCTACCAACTAATCCCCAGCCCATGCTGTTTATTTGTTTGTTTGTTTGTTTGTTTTTAATAAAGAGCCTAAGCATGTTTTTCCCCTATAGAAAGCAAGGCAGTGTAGGGACAGAGAGAGGAGTGTTGGGGGATAACCTGAGGTCTGACTCAGGGAATAAACTGACTTTGTCCCTCAGTCCCTGACCAGGGCTAACTGCAGAGGGTTAAATTGAAGCCAAGGACCCAAGCAGGGGAGAAGTCAGGTAACGCAGACACATTTGCTCTCTTTCGTTTGCTCCTGTGTCTGGGATCTGCTGCATATTCTCTGAGGCTCTGGTTTGAGCTAAATTTTCATGCAGATGGAGACCTGTGAGAGCCCATAGCATCCTCAAAGAGGCTTCATGATGGCCTGGGATTGTTCTGGGGGAAGGAAGGCCAGTCATACACCTATCCTTTCCCTCAGGGCTGCAGCCAGCTGCTCCCTTAGTACCCAGTAGTCTGTAAGGCCATTTCTGATCCTTCCTTTGTTTTCCAAATGACCCACTCTTCTATGGGCTTGCTCTGGTCCAGTCACACTCCCATCCATCATTTCTCCTAACCCACCACTATTTCCTCTGTCCTGACCCCTCCTGCCAGTCTTTTCACACAGATGGCACCTTCTCAGGCACAAGGTGGGCCATAATTATTATGGTGAACTCATAAAGTGAGAGCGAAGCTGAAAATCCCTGTCTAGTGATAACACAGGCATCACAGGTCATCATGGTGTAACACATTCCCACACTGGTGGTGACACTGAAGTCAACCCTGGTGTAAACACACCTACTACCCTGTCCTTATACACGTGGAGCACATACAGTTACATACAGCATGTAACACTTGTTATTGATAAGTGATTGTCTACTATTTATGCTACGTTAGAGAACATTCTTTCTACTCCCAAAAACACGGGTTAACTGTGACACAGTGTGATTTGTTATACCAACAGCACCCTCATCTTGGGTTTTCTGTGTCTCCTGATCACATCATTTTCTCTTGTACTTCACTTAATCTCTTGCTGTGGTCTCACACATGTGTCATATGGCCTAAGGGTGTAGTCAGCCTTGGTTTGTGTCAGAGCTGCTTGTGACATTCATACAGTGATGGAATTGCCTAATGTATTTCTCAGAGGATATCTTCATCACTACATAATGCCTGCATACAGTTGACTGACTGCATGATCAAGAGGTAGTTCTTCCCTATGAGGATGGGACATCATTTGTGTGTGTATCATGGCACCCTCCTCCAGCCCTGGAGTGTCTGTGCCTTTGGATATATGAGAGACAGGGAGGAGGGCAGGGAGGAGGTAGGAATCAAAGGTTTAGAGCATGGTCATGGATGCCAACACACAGTCAAGGAATACCATTCCCTCCCTTTCAGCTTTCTGCCTGAATCCTAGCTCTCTCTGCCAACAGCTTTAGGAATGTGGATTGTCACTTCAAACACATATCAGAAAAGTTTGTTTTTTAAAGCACTGTCCTTAACCCTCAGGGATCTGTTGAGGTTTTAAAAACATATTATAAAATATTGTTAGAACCTGAGTCCTGGGGGCTGTTCAGTTCTATGACAGGCCATTACACTTGGCCCTGACAAGGCTATGTTCCATCTCTGTTACAGATAGGAAACTACTCAGACTTGAAGACCTTCAGCAAAGTGGAAATGGGTGATCATCTCAGGTCGAAACATTGGAACTTCCAGAACATCCATGCCCAGAATGACAGGGAGGTCACAGGAAAAAGACTCAGGGACAACAACAAACCGAATTCTCTGGGCACTGAAATGACTACCACACAGCCACTGTCAGACTGGGAGTGTGTGCTCCCAAGAACAGCAATGCCAATCTGATGGGTACACAGCAGCCTTTTCAAAGATCACTTGCAAATGAAAGTGGCCTGGAAGAATTTGTGCTTCTTTTAACTGGCAGGTTCTCTGAGTCACACTGTCAAAGTGGAACTTTGGAGAAACAGAGGCACATGACATCATTAAAACAAAACAAAACAAAACAGAACAAAACAATATAAAACAAACAAATAAAAAACCCAGCTCAAATCCTTTTGGATATTCTCTGGGGACTCTATCTCTCGTTGGTTTTTAACATTTTTTTCATTTTATCCCTCTCAGCATAAAATAGCTCTCTGGCGACAGGAGAGGGCCAGAGATGAGGCATAACCACACATGAAGCCTGCACTTGGACCATCATCTGCTGAGTGAAGAATCAACTGCTCAGGTTGGGTAAGGACACTCCAGCATTAAAATTTAGAAGAATGGGGTCTGGTATGGTGGCACATGCCTTCAATCTCACCATTAAGAAGGCAGAGGCAGGTGCATCTCTGTGAGTTCAAGGCCAGCCTGGTCCAACAAGCTCCAGGCCATCCAGAGCTACATAGTGAGATCCTGTCTCAACAAAAACCAAAACAAAAATTTAGAAGAATGGATTTGATAATGTTCTGAGCTCTGACCGCCCTGCTCAACTCAAATTCTCCTGGTTGCTTTCCTCAGTGTCCTAAGAATCCATACCATACCTTTGTTAGATCATACGTATGTAAAATGAACAGTGATTTGGAGTAAACTTACTCAGTCTCTCTGTTTTGAGTAATTCAGTGTTTATTAAGTTTAGTTTATAATAGTGTGTCAAAGACAGGCATGGAGGCCCATGCTTGTAGCCCCAGCACCGGGGAAGCAGAAGGATCAAGAGTTCAAGTCTATCTTTGAATTCAAGGCTACAAGTTTGAAACCAGCCTGGACTACATAAGACCCTGTCTCAAAAAACCAAAATATGTATTTATACTCACTAATTGTGGTATACCATACTGATATAGGACTAATAAAGGGGAATTGAGGATAGACCATATGAGAACTCTACAATTTTTCAACTTTCATGTAAATTAAAACTCATTCTAAATAAAACATTCATTTAGAAGAAGAAAATCTTCTCTAGAACTGACCAGTCTACCAAGATCTGTCCCCACAGTCAAAGGAAGTACTCTGGGCTTTTCTATGTCTGATGTGCTAGACAAGACCCGGTGGGGCTTCTGGGTGCCTCTTATTTGTTCCTCCATTTCTCAAGCAATATTTTCCTAGAGCTCTTCTTGCCAACCAGCTCAAAACTCAGAAGGCAGATGTCAGAGTTCACATCTCTGAGTGAGGCATGGTTGACAAAACCCTGAAGAACAAATGGACCAGAAGCTATGTCAGCCGAAACACTATGATCGAATTGAGGCCATGCAGACAAGGGCAGTAATAGATGAGCACTCAGAAGGGAACGGGGAAGAGAAATTCCTCTACCCCACAGACCAAGGACCCAACCAGGACCTTGGATTTTCAAAAAGTACTTGGGTTCTAAACTCAGAAATCTGATTCCAAAGCACTAGCAGCTGCCCCTCTCAATACTGGTCCAATACTGAGATATCAAGATGGGCAGAACTTAACAGATGAAGGAAAAGCTCAATGCAGCTAACTCCTCCACACCTGCAATCCTAGCACTTTGCAGGCCTGAAGCAGGAGAATTGTTAAAGTCATGCTGGTCTATATAGTCAGAACCCAGGAAAGGGGGTGGGGTGGGGGTGAGGCTCTCTGTGTGTGTGTGTGTGTGTGTGTGTGTGTGTGTGTGTGTGTGTGTGTGTGTGTGTGTGTGTGTGTAGGAATCAGTGATTTGCTTGGGGCAGAGAATGCAGGGATTGACTACAAAAGGGACTTGAGGCTGATAGAAATGTTTTCTATACCCAGCTGGGTGATGTTTCCACGAAGACATTCAAAGACAGCAGGAATAAGCGGGAAAATTTTACAAGGCACAGGTGAGCCTAGCCTGGCTGGAGCATACTAAGGGAGGGGAGGATGCTAGACAGGGTCAGGGAGGCAGGCAGAGGGCCCTGTGTGCTCTGGATATCTGAAGCTTTACTCCAGTGCTACTGGAAACTTCTGTGTGCTGACAAATGCTGGTCCATGTGTCCTTGGATTCTGTGGGAGCCCACAGAGGTTTCCTAGTGAAGTCTGAGCTTGCTTTACCCAGCAGGACTGCATGAGAGGATGATTGGACCACGGGCCTGGGTACCAAGTGTTTGGAAGGGTCTACACTTGGTTGTATCTAGCAAGGAGGAGGTCTTTTGCCTCGCCCCTCAGTATTGTTATAAAAAGCCCTTTTGAATAAGGTTCTGGGCCCCGGGTATTGACCCAGGTCCTCCCAAAGCTGTCCTGTGTTTCTGTTTTTCTTCTTCTTAGCTAGGCCTATCATTTTATCTACAAATTCCTTATTCCTCTCTCTTCCTCATAGGAACCCTGTAAAAGGTGGGGCTGGTCACCCACAGGATTCCCACCTCCTACTTATGGGGATACATCCACCACTTGGCCTTGCCTCTTCTTACAGCGACATGGAACCCACCTCAGGCCCTGTACCAAGGTGGTTTTCCCATCCTGCCTAGTGAAGGCACAGAGTCTAACTAGCATCAGGTCTTTCTCTGCCCAGTGCTGGGTGTCTTGAGCTAAAGTGGCTCAGCAGCTCTGGACCACACAACAGTCCCCCTTGGGCTCTCTCCCACCGACTCACCTTCACCCAGAGTCTGCTTGAGTAAGTCATGCTTGGCTTGCAGCTTGGTGATGAGGTTACTGCCATTCACATATTCTTTAAATTTCTGTAAAACACACAGGCATAAGGAAGTTAAAGGCCACACAGCCAAGTGATGGTGGGGTCTCTGATTCTAAAACCCATCTCCTCAGCAGGGAAACCAAGTAGATGTCAGGCTATCCAGGACCTGGTGGGGGGACAGGCAGGACTTTGTATCTGTTTTGAGCTATTCCAAGTGCCTGTCTAAATCTTGGGGATCCCTGGGCCATGTAGGTTGGGTTGGGCACATAAGAGGCAGGAGAGTATGGCAGCAGTAGAGGTCACTTCTATGGTGAGGACTGTGGGAAGCACAAGGTGAAGGGCCCCTTTGGTCACCAAAGCTCCACTGTGTTTCCAGGACCAGAGCAATAGGAAGAGAGCCATGCAGAGGCCCTGGAGCTGAGGCCAAGGGCTAGCAGAGCAGAGCTTAAGATGAGCCTTTCTTCCAAATGAGGAAGGGCTGTGCAGGCCACTGAGAAACCTTGCATCAGAAGGTTTATCAATGCACTGGGGACATGATATTCTGGGTGGATGAGATAAAGAGGGGTGTTCAGAAAGTGCTTTGCCCCAAATGCCAGAGAGAGAGAGAGAGAGAAGCCTCTCCATGATCTTGGAGGACAAATGGAGAAAGTTTGATCGTACTTAATCTAAGGAAACAGAAGCCCAGAGCTGGGCTCCATGCTGTGCAGCCTGGAGTGCAGCCCTTCCCATATCTAGACCCTCATTAGCTAGCTCCTCAAGGTAAGCCAACCATAGATTTAGGATGTCTCTCCAAATGTGGAACAGAGGACCAGCAGCTTCATCGCCAGTTGGGAAGACTGTTAACATGCAATTTTCCATTTCAAGATACCTTGAATCTAACCCTTCATTTCTCACTTGCGGGGAGCGGGGAATCACAGAGGCCCTTACACTTCCAAGTTTCAGAGCCCTGCTGAGGAAGATGGGAGATGAAACACTTGAATTTTAACTGAGTGCCCTGGCTCTGGGTAATGCACACCTTTGCTTCAGTCAGTAAGTAGTGACTTATAGGCTGGCAGTGGAGGTGTCTAACAATACCCTCCTCTGAGTTCATCACATGTCTAAGAATTAATGAAAAACAGAGGTGAGCTGTACACATAAAAGGCTGATTGTGCCTAAAGCTGTTTTCTGACCTCCAGAAAACATACACACATATATGTATGCATATATGCATGCACATATATCAATATGTATATAAAACACATAAATACATATACACAAACACACACAAAAAAACCCACAACATCTTCTGATCTTGGTCAAAGACACTAGATTTCTTTAAATACAAGCAGGCTGGACCCCTTCCTCTGTTTCTGCTGCCTAGATTTTGTTCTATTACTGAAGTGACTTTCTGTTTATCCCCATATGCACTCCCTGCTCCCTAGAGACAATAACTTCTCTTTGTCAACACAGTAGGCCTCTAACAGAAGTAGTAGATGCCAGGAGTCATTAAGACTAGCTTTGTTTCCTTTCTTGACAAGGTCAAAGAATACTGATGGAAGAAATGAATGTCAACTATTGGATTGTAGCAGGGTTTTGATTAAGGCTTACCAATTACAGAGTTCTATGCTAGAAATGGGTTAATTTGTGACAAGTTCTATGAGCATAATCCAGTCAACAGCAGCCTAGCTGTGTGTCTCTAGTGACCTGATTGTCAGCCTTGGCAGCAGCCTGGCACAGCCATTACATTTTCCTATTAGCTACCTTTAAGGTACTGGAGGCCATGCTCGCTGAATCTGCTATCATACAAGATCTGAAAAGAGCATGGAGGTCTAGGGATTAGGTTAGGATGCTGACCGTCTGGACCTGTGACACAAATCCTTCAAGAGCATAGCTCAGTGAAGACCCAAGTTTTTAACCTATAGGGCCTTTAAGAGGAGGGAGACCTGGCTGCACACAGAGAAGCGTCAGCTGACACCACCTTAGCTTAAAAATAAAATAACAAGTGCCAGGTGTGGTGGCACACGTCTTCAGTGAGTGTTACTGTAGACATTCAAAGAGAAAGTATTCAGGAGCTACTAGGGTGTGGAGGCTGCTCAGAACCAAAGCTTATAAGGTAGGCTAGAAGAATCGGCACTCAGCCTGGAGGAAGGAAACCTCAGCTTTCTACAGCCAGGGAAAGACTGCTAGGGAGCATCAGCTTCACTCTGGTCACCAAGGAAAACAGCATCAAGACCAGTGGCCAGGAATCCTAGGGTGACAGATTCCCCACAGATAACAAAGGTGTCAGCCACAACTCAACGAGAGCTTTTCACCCTGGGCATTTGAGCAGAATCCCCACTGGCTTTTTGTGGGATGTGCACCAGATGGAAGGTAAGTCCCTTACAGTCCCAATCTCCATGCTCAATAAGCCCAATGTGAACTAAAGTCTCAATTCCCCTTCCCCACTTCCCTCCTGGCCCCTGGCCAAAATGGAGGTCTGTAACCTGGGATTTTACAGGAGGCACTAGCAAGTCATAACTCATAACTTGCTTGCAATTCTGAGGTCCTCATCTTCAAAGCTTAGTCACCGATTTAAGACAATAGCATACACATAACTCTAGGTTGTTACCTGACTCCTTCACCATGTTCCTCTAACCCAGTAGCTCTCAACCTTTTAATACACTGCCTCATGTTGTGGTGACTCCCAGCCATAACATTATTTCCATGGCCACTTCATAACTGAATTTTTGCTACTGTTACGAATCATAATGTAAATATCTAATATGCAGGATGATCTCAGGAGACCCCTGTGAAAGAGTTGTCTGATCACCCCCCCCCCCACCAAAAGGGCCATGACCCACAGGTTGAGAATCACTGCTCCAACCCAATTGAATAAAACTCTTTGGTTCCTTCCTAAAGCATCAGTGATCATCACTCAAGATTAACGTTAATACCACCCACTGCACTTCAGAAAACCAAGCCAGGCAACCTAATGGTAAAAAAGCAAGTTAGGAGATTTATGTCCTATTATTTTGCTGGCTCTCTTTCAGGCTGCTTCACAGGCAGGGAGTCAACAGTGGGCTCTGGGTCCCAGATGCTACTCACTGTGAAATAAAACATCTCTGTTTCCTGCTGGTTGGCTCTCCTTTTGGCGATGTTGATTTTGCTCATGTAGGTCTCAGAAGCGGCTGACTTTATGGACTCTGTAGATCGGCTGTGTTGGAAGGCGTCAGAGACATCGAAGTCCTCCACGGTCAGCATGTCCTGTAAGGTCTGCATGGTGGCATCTAGGGTTTTCCTAACCTAGAGAAAAGCAGCACAAACACCTTTATTCTCCTAATGCCTCTGACGCCACTAAGTCCTTTTCCTGACAGTGGCTTTGTTCCTTCATTTAATGTCTCTAGAAGGTAGGCAGGTCAAGATGGTTGCTCATAGACAGTGAGGCCAATTGGTCATTGGTCCAAGACCAAATAGCTGGCAGGGTGAGAAGCCAGATTGTCCATTCTAAGGTCATTTATTGGATTGCTACTGACTGAGGGACCTTGGGAATGTCATGAGGCTAATGGAGTCAAATTTCTCGGCTTGTTTCCCTGGTCTGGTTAGATACCGTAAAGGAGGCTCCCCCTGTGGGTCATTTGAGCATCAACAGAAATGCTCTGGTGTCTTATCTCATTTAGGGAGGAAGGCAGCATCTGATGGTGGGCAGAGGTCTGCTGGGAGACAGGAAGTTACTGTCACAGGGTTTAGTTGGGACTCCAGCTTCCATCTTGGGTCCAGTGAAATCATACATCACAGAGACTCCAAAAGCAGGGCATGAGGACCCCAGCCTCACAGAAGCCCTGGGACGAGTGGGATCTCAGTGGCAGGCTCTGTGTCCCAGAGGTAGGTCAGTCCAAAAGAAATCACTGGCAGAAAAATCAGACTCCATTTATTGTAAGATCATTGTCACTCAAAGTCTGTCTCATTGCTCCTCAGCTGAAATATCACCCTCTAATGCTGTCAGGCCTCCTAGCACGTGCCATTCATGGTCCAGTGTTTTCCCATATGCAGACACTCGTTGGTCTTCATGTTTTCATTTCTGGTGTTTTCTCATCAGAAAGAGGAAAAACTATGGGGCTGTGTTCCTTTGATTTATTCTCTACCTACAATAATGTTTAGCATGTATTATGTGAATAAATATTACATAAATAAATGCTTGTTGAATGAGTGAATTAGATCACAATCAATTCTTCTTTCCAACACAGACTGACGAAAGCTGATTCAAGAACAAGCATATCCAAGCCCATCCACAGCCCACAGAGAGGGCAGGGTGCCTCACTCTCCTCCCTGTGGCCCTGATTTCCATTTAAATTCCATTAATGGCATTATACATGTGAACCATTTAAAAGCCTTTGGGGGGAGACAGAAGGTAGAAAGCAAGCAGGCAAGCATTCTGCCTAGTTCCTGTCTCTCTCTTGCCAGGTTAAAAGACAAGTCAGTTTGCCTTCTTATGACCTTCCCTAGACATACTTTGACTTATGTTAGCTCTGTCCTAGCTCTGCCCTTTGTGGACAAACCAGGAACAACTGTCCCTACGGTCCAGGATAGCCTGCATGACATTTGAAGACAGTGGCCATGCCTTCTCACTTTCCACCATGACTGTACTTCTTGGACATAAGTTTGTCACACAACCTTGGGTGGCACTGCCCAAATCCTGAGGGCCCTAGAGTTGGCTGGCATTCCTCCTCTGGGTGGGGTATTGAGGTCTTAGTAGGACACAGCCTACCACGTTAGAACGGACCCACCCGGTGTGATGCTGGAGCACGATGCAATATGGGAGGAGCACTGAGCTAGTGAGACTGACCCACCCCCTGGGGCTTCCCATCCACAATACGTCTAGGGCAGCCTGGGCTATCCAGTTCACTGCGTAACTGTAAATACTTGCTCTGACTTCTGATGATCACCACAGAAACTGAGTGCTGAGAACGAGGTGGGAAAGCACAGAGTCAGTGGTAAACACCAATCACTCTACAGCTGAGATGGAGCCAACGTTCACACTTGGAAACATTTTTCCTGCGGACTTTTCTCTACACCTGCAGATCCACAATCATTCTAAACATAGAGTCCCACTTCCTCCTGTTCCCCTTCCATTCTGGTACGCATTCTTGTACATTCTTGAGATCTTGCATGCAGCCTGCAGGCCATTAAAGATTTCTTAGTGCAGGTAGGTTGTGTGGTTGTATAGTCGCCCACCAGTGAACCACCATTTCCTATATATTCCAGGGTATGAGAGCCCCCCCCCCCCAGCATAAGCCCCGGGAGCTGGACCCAGGGTAGCAGCTCACTCACCTCTTCATTCTCAATCCTGAGGGTGGCCAGCCTGGACTGCAGCTGGTGGTACCGCATAAGCAGCTCCGTCTGGACGGGCTGCTGTGCGCTAACCTGGCACACCTGTGGAAGGAGACCGTCATTGCAGCTGAGCCCAGGACACAGGTCCGGCAGGGCGGGGGGCCTGCCCTGGGCCGCCCACGTCGGACACAGCAAAGGCAGTACCAGATGCGAACTAGGGTCCTCTTACTCCAGAGTCTGCCCTCTTGCTGTGGCCAGTGTGGCTTCCCGGCCACACTCTTCTCTATTTGCACAGTAACTGCGGGCTAATAAAGACCTTGAATGTAGTAATCTTGGCAAGCCAAAGTAATTCACTGCAAGGCAGGAAGTTGTGGAATGAAAGCACTGCCTGAACAGCCAGTAGCAAGTACAATGAACCAGAAGCAGTCGACAAGTGACCCTGTCACCACAGGAATGGATAAAGATGTATCAGAGAGATGACTTTGACTATCACACTGTTGGTCCTCTGTGTCCACGAGTTTCATGTCCACAAATTCAGCCAACCAAGAACATAAAGTGTATATAGGAAGGGGGAACAAAACAAAAAACCAAACACCTGGACTGAACGTGGGCAGGCGTTTTCTTTTATCATCCCCCAAACAATACAGTACAACAACTATGCACATTTGCTACGTAATGCAGAGATGATTTCAAGTATGCAGGAGGATGTGCACTGGTTCTTTGTAACCACTATGAAGTTTTATATAAGGTGCTCATGGGGAAGCAGTCACCCACAGATACCAAGAGCAGCTGTGCTGTTCTTCTGGAGCCTTCCCTTCCAAAGCTGTTACCACTGTGGGCTAGGCTACTTGGTACACTGTGGTTTCTCACCCGTTCTAGGAACACAGCTAAGATCACACAAGATAATAGGGCTGTTTGCTGAGCTAGTTATTCACTGTTAACTGCTAACTAGGTAGCCCAAGCTTCACAGTAACCTCTTCAGGTATAGACGACAGGCCGAAGGGCAGACCTGGGACAGTGGGATGCCTCAGGAAGAGTGGTGTCTGTCACCTTGTAGAAGTCCTTCCTTGTGCAAATGAAGGAAGTGGGCAAAGCCATGTAGAGTGGCCGCTGTTGTTATCTTCTAAGACGTTCCCTGTCCCTCCCCAGAAGCAGATGTTACACGTGGCCCAGCTGAGCTTCCCCTAGGCTCCTGAGGCTGGCTGGTTCTGCTCTCCTGTGGTTCTGCACCCACTTGCCTCCCAACTCCCATTGGGAAAATGTTCCAGGAAAGTACAGGGAGCTGTCTTCTACATGGGGACAGGGGACAGTGTCAAGTGTCATCTGCACACTTCCTTTGTTTTCCTCTCCAGACCTGGGAAGAGTCTGGGCAGCACGAGCATGGCAGGAAAGTCAGTTGTCTGGTGTGTGAAAGGCTCATGGTATTGTAGAGGGCATCAGATGAGGGCATCTAAGGTCTAAAGAGATAGGAGACTATTTCTAGGCAGACTGGAACATCCTTGAGGTCTCCTAAACACATCTAAGAGGGAGCCTAAGGGAAGCCAAAGTCCTACAGTTCTGTAGGTGGGGACGTTAGCCAACAAGACAAGACGATCACCTGAAGAAGCTCATGAATTAAGAGCTGACCCTAGGCCTCTGGGGTAAATCAATGGCATATGTACTCAAGGCTTTTTTTCTCTTCCCACAATGCTCTAGGAGCATGGGAGAGAACAGAAGTAGTAGCTATGATGCTAACGTGCCCTACTCCCAAATTTGAGGCATGGGAAACTTATTCTCAAAGCCATGTACAAATGGCATTTGGAGGTGGGGCTGCTGGGAAGTGATTAGGACTACATGAGGTGGTGAGGGTAAGGCCACCATGATGGCATTAATGGCTTGATAGGAAGTAGAAGAAAGACAGACTGGAGCTACACGCTTGCTCTGCCTTGCCGTATGGTAACTGTGCCACGTCCTTATGCAACAGGATGGCCCTCACGAGATGCCAAGCAGATGCTGGCACCATGCTTTTAGACATCCTAGCTTTCCTCCCTAGCTATTCCAATGGCTCTCAATCCTCCTAATGCCCTACTTAATGCAGTTCCTCATGCTGTGGTGACCCCCCAACCATAAAATTATTTTGGATGCTACTTCCTAACTGTAATTTTGCTAATGTTAAGAATCATAATGTAAATATTTTTGGAGATAGAGGTTTGCCAAAGGGGTCATGACCCACAGGTTAAGAACCACTGCTCTGCTCTATTCTAGGTTATTCAGGCTTAGGTACTTCCATATGGCAATGTATAGCTAACTCATACAGCTAGCCCCCAAGCAGGGTTCTGGCAGGAAGCCTACCTCATCCCCCATGTGGGGCTGGAACTCGAATTTGAGTGGGGGGCAGAAGACCTGGCTGCACATGTCCATGACCGTGTGCTTGTCACTCCGGGAGTCCAGGTTGTCCACGGCGTTCTCTATGACATCCAAGCCCTCATGGCGAGAGGTTTCCAGGTTATATTCTGCTGAGAGGTAGGTCCGAAAGGTGCGGGCCAGACTGGCGTGAAAGCCCAAATCACAGCACTTGGGGAGAGGCAAGGACAGAGGGTACAGGTGAGAGCTGGGGCGGTGACCTGTGATCACCTTTCAGTCCCCAGCACTTTGGAGTTCTGAATAAGCCATAGCAAACCCTTAAAGGGAGCTGAGAGCTGAGATTTGGGCACAAACAGAGTCTTTCTGCTCCCCAGGCCCACCACAGTCTTTCATCTCCAGGCTTTCTCCATCCATGCTCTCTGTCTAGAATGTTCTCCAGCTGCCATTTAGTTTATAGGCCATTTCCTTCTGGAAGTTTTCCTTGATGTTCTCCATACCGAGTTTTGGGCAGAGATCCACATGCCCCCCCCCTCCCTCACTGTGACCCTGGCCACTTGCCACTGTAATTGTCTATGAACGTGCCCTAGGCAGGTGTGCTCCAGGGGGCCTGCTGGCTCTTGCCCACCACTGAGCCTCAAGTCCTAGTCCATGGTAAGATGCTCAGGAAACATTTGGCAAGTGAACAGACGAAAAGGCTAAAAGGACAGTTGAGAGCAAGGGAAGAGGGGGATGGCTTTACGCCATTGGAAGGCTGAGCAGACTGCCACCCACCCCAACCCCCATGCTATGACTTCCAGAATAGGATATACAGGGTTAGAGGAAGAGAATCCAGTACCCACCCTCTACTGAGCACCTACAGGAATGGATCCCCCACTTATCATGGAAGGGGAGACAGAGAAACAGTCCCAGCGCTAATGTAGATGACACAGTCTCCCATCACCTCCACTCACAATATCCTTCTTCAAGCCTGGTGTTCTCCAGGGAGCCCTGCACAGCCAGCTCCCCAGAGAGTCGGTGTTCTACTCTCCAGTGATCAAACTCATTCCTCCCAGGAGAATTTCCCCACACCAAGAGATTCGGTACCATTTTCTCTCTCCAGTGACTTTCCCACGGTGTACACCTGGCTGGCTGGACCCAGGGGTTCTGAATGTATGGCCCCCTCTCCTCTTCCACACCAGCAGCTTCTAAGGGTGTGAACTGTATATACTTCTCCCCTGTGCCCTCACACCCAGCAGAGGCCCTGGTGCATAGGAGAGGACTTTGGAAGTTTGTATTGGATATCTAACTAATCAAGCTATGGCGGGGGTGGGGGACATCAGCCAGAACTCACTTCTATCCATGGAAAGCGTGACCATGAATTAGCTCATACCCTAGCCCAAAGCACTTCCAGTCCTTCCCCTCAAGCAGGGTTATAAAAGCTTGGCCAGATCACATGTCAGCTGAGGACCACGGCCAGCCCCGTCTTCCCCCCAGCTCATGAGATGTTTCAGCCTGCATGCAACCCACCCAGCAACCCAGGTTGCTCACATCAATGAGATCAGACACATCGTGGATGTAGTATTTGCTGATGGCTGCGTTGGTGGCTGCCAGATTCAGCAGGTAGTCATTGCGAGCCTTCGTGCACTTGAGCTTATTCTCGGAGTATTTGGCCTGCCTCTGGAGGGAGAAGAGGGAAGACATCAGAGCCGAGCTGGCCAGAGGGAGGACCCACAATCTCCACAGGAACTGTCTGACAGTGAGGCCCACCTTCCAGGGATGGGATGCTTCTGTGCCAAGGGAGCACACTGGATCCTGAATTCAGTAATATACCTCAGCTAGCACAGCTGCAGCCAACAATGATGTTATTTTGTCACACAGCATCTTTCGTGTGGTCTCTACCAGGTGATATCTTATAGATATCTCACCCTCAGTATCCTCCATGGGCTTCCTTAACTGTTTTCAATGGCCCAGAGATCTTCCAAGAAATGGCGGTCTAGCCACCACTCCAGATCACCATTCCAGCCCCATCTTTCTGTATACTCCCCTTCTCTCATCTAACCTCTTGTCCATCTTCAAGAGACCAAGGCTATTTCTGTTTTGAGTCCTTCAGACTCCTTATAGTCACATTTCTGAACCTGTATGTGGTCTGTCCCTTGATGTCACTCAGGTTCTTACCCAAAGTGATAGCCACACAAGCTACTGATGATGGCCTTGTCTGATCTCTTGCATCTCTACTACTCTCCCCTTGCCCTGTTATGTTTTCATAAGCTCTCTGTTTATGTGTTGATCACTGGTACCCCCACAAGAAAGTGAACTCCATGAAGTCAGTGCCATGACTTGCCTTGCTTGTGGGTGGTGGATCCATAGCACCCAAAATAGATCAACTAATTTAAGTCTTGGGTCTTTTTAAGAAAGGGGAAAAGGGAGGGAGAAGAGAAGAAGAAGAAAAGAAGGGAGAGAGTCTGGGTCTAAATGGCAGGAGGAGTGGAGCAGAGTATCCAGAATTTTGCCAAAGCAGCTTTTGTCCTGGGCCAGCCCAGAAGGGAGGAGGCACAATGGACAACTGCCTCTGCCCCTTTCAGATGATGAGTCTTAACTGGGTCTCTTTAAAGAAACCATGCCTTCAGCTAACTGCTCTTTCCCATTCCTCATTCCACATGAGATCCAGCTTTGGAGTAGACCAGTCCCACTGACAACCTTTTAATTCTCCTCGGGCCTCTTACGTCCTCTCACTCTAGGACCACTCAGCAGATGCCTCCTGGAACTCACATCCTGTACCAGCCAGGCACCTACCTGCAGAAAGTCTGAACACTCCTGACCCTCTCTAGGGGCCCATTATGACCTTGAGACTGTTTTCCTGGGTTGACTTCATTTTTATAATTTTTATAATTATCGTGGCATCTTAGCTGAACTCATCTATTTATAGAGGAGGAAATGAGAGCTGAAGAAGAAAAGTGGCTTGTCCATGAGCCAAGTGGCTAATTAGCATATGGCTGCACCAGGAATGAGCCTCTAGAATCCCAGCCAGTATCTTTCCATCCCAGCATTTCCTCTGGAGAGAAACCTTGCACCAATGAGCAGCCACTTGTCATCCTCCTCTTCCTCAGATTCGGAATACCAGCAGTCTACTTCCTGTGTCCATGGGTGTGTCTATTCTGGACATTTTACGTAAGTTAATTTGTATAGTTTGGGGCCTTTTGTGTCTGGCTTCTTTCACTTAGCATGCTGTCTTTCGGGTTCAGCCACATTGTAGCATGTATCAAGACTTCATTCATTTTCATGGCTGAGTTATGTTCATCAGTAGCTGAATGTTTGAGTTGTTTCCATCTTTTGGCTACTGTGAACAGTGCTGCTGTGAATACTCACATACAAATGTTTACACAAATATGTCTTCATTCCTCTGGGGCAAATACCCAGGAGTGGCATGACTAAGTCACATGGTAGCCTGGTCCATGTATATGTAATATCTGAAGAGCTGCCAGATGGCTTTCCACAGTGACAGAACCACTCACATACACAGCCTGCCCCTGACAGCAGTGCAAAATTTTCTGATTTCCATATCCTCATCCCTGCCTCTTCCTGCCAGCCTTGTATCCTGGTCCTTTGGGTGGCTGTAAAGCCCTACTGTGCCGTGGTCTTCATTTGCATTTCCTTCATTGCCAATGAAGCTGAGCAGATTGCTCTGTATTATGGACCACCTAGACAGGTTCTTAAGAATTGTCTATTCTAAGAGATGGCTCCACAGTTAAGAGTGCTGGCACCCACATGGTGGCTCAAGATTGTCTGTAACTCCAGTTCCAGGGGATCCAACACTCTCTTCTAGTCTCTGAGGGTACCAGGTATAAAAGTGGCAAATTTACATACATACTGACAAAACATCCATACAATAAAATAATTAAAAAAAGAAATGTTTATTTGTGGTGGTATTGTGTTCCCCAAAATATTGTGTACTCTAATAAACTTATCTGGGGTCAGAGAACAGAACAGCCACAATATTAAACATAGAGGTTAGGCAGTGGTAGCACACGCCTTTAATCCCATCACTTGGGAGGTAGAGATCCATCTGGATCTCTGTGAGTTTAAAGCCACACCAGAAACAGCCACGCATGGTGACTCACGCCTTCAATCCCAGGAAGTGAGCCTTTAATCCCAGGAAGTGAGCCTTTAATCCCAAGAAGTGATGGCAAAAAGCAGAAAGGTATAATAAGGCGTGAAAACCAGGAACTAGAGCTGGTTAAGGTTTCAGGCTTTGGAGCAGCAGTTCAACTGAGATTGAACTGGATGAGGACTCAGAGGCTTCCAGTCTGAGGAAACAGGATCAGCTGAGGAATTGGCAAGGTGAGGTGGCTGTGGCTTGTTCTGCTTCTCTGATCTTCCAGCATTCACCCCAATATCTTGCTCCGGGTTTGTTTTTATTAATAAGATCTATTAAGATTCCTGCTACAGTCTATTCAAATTCCCTGCCCATTTTGGTATCAAGTCTTTGAGTAGATTTTGGATTTTCCTCACTTTCAAAAATTATACCAGGACACACACACACACTCACACACACACTTTTATATGCTTCCCAGTTACCCAGGTTCTGTTACGCTTTGTTCCTACCCAGTCTATAATTTCTAGAGCTAAAGGATCCTGTAATCATAGAATTAGGCCCACAGAAGAGCAGATAAACATCTGACGCAATGGCTTGCAGACAGAAGAACTCTGCAAATGTTTCCTGGTTGTGGGGAGTACATGGATATGGAATATTCAGCAAGAAGATCACAGCCTTTAAAGAAGAAAGGGAGTTAGAAGTCACAGATGGGTCCTGCCCTTCAAAACTCCCTGGTCATAGCAGACATCATTAAATGATCTCAGCACCTTTTCAACTAAGCCTTGATAAAGCTTCAGAATCCTCAACAGAGCACTCTGACCAGCCACTATCAATGTATCAGAGCCAACATGAGCAATAAGACTTGTTTATCAGATTTGAAAACCGAAGCTCAGGGTTTAAATGTTAATATAGCATTTAAAACCCCAGCTGATATGCTGGGGAGAGGGCTGAATGGGTAAAGTGGTTGCTGTGTATGCATAAAGACCTATTTGGATCCCTAGCACCCATGTGAAAACTGAACTCAGGTCTGTAACCCCAGAGCTGGGGGAGGAGTAGATCTAGGAGACTCTTGGGGGCTTGATGGCCAGCCAATCTAGTCAGTCAGTGCACTACAGGTTCAGAGACAGACCCTGTCTCAAAGAGTAAGGCAGAGAGAGCAATAGAGGAAGGTACCTGATGTCAACATCTGGCCTCACACACAGGCGAGGAGCACACCTGCATACAAATGTGTACACACTTGCATACAACATACATAGGTAAACAAACAAACCCCAGGTTATCGGACTCCAAATCTTGAGCTCTCTCCACCACATCTACAAAAATGCTTTGTAGCACCATCCACAGTGATTCTGAAGCTTCAGTCTTTGATATGGCCATGGCAATTTCACAATGAACCCATGATAGCTTTAGATGTTAATTTGGCACAGCCTAGAATTACCTGGGAAGAGAATCTCAATAAGGAGTTGTCTACATTGGGTTGGACTCTGGGCATGCCTATAGGAGATTGTCTTAATTGAGTGAAGTGAAATGGGAGGACATACCCTGAAGGTGTGTGACACTATTTCACTGGCTGGGTCCTGAACTTTGTTAAGTGAATAAAGCTAGCTTAGCATAAGCAAGCGATCAAGTAAGCGAGTGTGTTCATTTCTTTCTGCTCTTGACTGTGGATGTGTTATGATTAGCCATTTTCAGGGCCTGCCACTTGGATGCCCCTGCTGTCATAGACTGTAACCTGCAACAGTGAGCTAAAGTAAACTCTTTCTCCCGTAAGATGCTTTTTGTCAGAATATTTCATCACAGCAGCACAAATGGAACCAGGACAGGGCCCTTTACCCTTCACGCAAAGGGGAAGGCAAGTCTGCAGCTGAGTGCATGGCTCTCCTCTTCGTGCCTCGCCCCATTTCTCCCACTCACCTTCTCCTTCATCTTCTCAATCTTCTTCACGGAGCTGCGGCGCTGGGGCCGGTCCTCGTGCCGGAGCAGGTTCATGCTGAGGTCTCCTGACTTGTTGAACTGTTTCTCCTCCTGCTTCTCGGCCTCCTTCAGCTTGCTTTCTGCACTGATGCTCTCTGAGTGGTACATGTGGTAGGTTTTCATGACCTGGAGACACATGCGTACAAGAAACCAGTAGCCTGTTACGGCTCGGCATGGTACATCTTGTTCCTGGCCCCACCCCAAGTTCCACATAATTGTCTTCCTTCCCATCATACATTCATCTTAGTTTATTTTTTTACTTCTGCTCAGACTCCCTGAGGGCTGGAAATGAAGATGCTCCTCACGTGTACCAACTTTATCATGAGTGACATCATCATCACCCTCTTCTTCATCATCATCAACATCATTGAGGCTCTACTAAGTGTCAAGCATGAGCTAGTAAATGGGAAATTAAGAAGAGCCATCACAACCCACAGGTGGTATGGCAAGCTGGGCCCTCGTTAGCTGTCCTCCCCAGTCCTGCTAGCTGAGACCCTTATATTCTACCTCCTGTCTTTACTCCCAAATCAGTGGAAAAGCCCTTAAAAACGGGCTTTGTAAACTGCCCTGTTATATAACCTAATAGATACTCTGTGGTCCCTGGAATACGTTCAACCTTGGCTATACAAAGAATTCCAACAAAGCAAATTGCACTCTGCTACTCATCTCCTATAACAAAACAGGATATGATTATAACGGGGAATTCTGAGCCCAAAGTTTCATCCTGAACCCTTTCCAAACTTGCAAAGTGTCCTATGAATGAGACATAAAGTCAGCGTTTCCTCTCAGATCTTGATGGAGACTTTTCTACAGCCCACCCACATGGCTCACTTGCAGTTTTCCCCCAAAGCCACAAGAACCCACTTCTCGCTGATTTCATCCATTCCAGTATGCCAGTCCCAGGAAACTCTTGCAAACCCCCACAGCCCATAAAGTATCCTTACTGGTACATGCTTGACATCTAGTGGCCAGAAGGAATGACTGCAGCCTTAACAGGTGAGCAAAAAGGTCCTGTTGTTCCCAAGGGTCTTTAGGCCATTGTTGACAGAAAGGGCATGCGGTCAAGAACTGGAAGGATCTACTGCAGTCTTTTTGGGGTTCCCACCTTCCCCTGTAATATCCGTCCATCCCTCTGTGCTCAGAGGTACTCAGCTCTGTGGCTTTGCTGTCACACGGTGTGGCTTTGCTGTCACACTGCTACTGCTGTTGTTTGGATCTAGACACACACACCCCTCCTGGGTTTAGTGATGATTGCTACATCAACTTTTCTACTCCAGCTCTCCGGGCCTGCTTATCTCAGTAACAACCTATCATCTGTACTGAGTAGTTCATATAGGTGGTAAAAGCATTTCTATGTGTGTCTAGATCAGTGATTCTCAACCTGTCAGTCCCGACCCCTTTGGGGTCCAACAACCCTTTCACAGGATTTACCCAAGACCATCAGAAAACACAGATATTTACATTACAACTCATAACAGTAGCAAAATTATAGTTAAGATGTAGCAACAAAAATAATTTTATGGTTGGGGGGTCACCACAACATGAGGAACTGTCCTAAAAGGTTACAGCATTGGGAGGGTTGAAAACCACGGCCTAAATCATCTGCTCCATCATTCACATGTGCCTCTGTCTAACTGCTCCAGGGTGGCATCCCAGCTGGGTGTTCCCACTTCCCATGTTTTCCTCTGCCTCAGTTTCTCCCCCCACATTGCCTCATTTTCTTTCACTCCTCTTGAGCCACACAGTGTTCCTTCTGTGCCCTACAATCCAAACTTCCTGGACTGTTCTAAAATTCCCATGCACAAAGAAGAACAGAGCCCCGAGAACCTGGGGCCCAACTGCCTGTGATCCTACTGAATCCTGACCCCAAAGACAATAGGGGATTTGATTGTACAGGATGACATGTCAGGCAGCTGCCACTGAAGAGTTTATTTGGAGGCCTCTCTGAAATGAGTTTATTTATACCGAAACCCTCCATTGTTGCCTTTATTCAATTACGGTTATCCTTTGGTATTCATGAAGGACTGGTTCTCAGAACTCCCCACAGATGCCAAAATCTGCAAATGCTCAAGTTTCTTATATAAAACAGTGTCATAACCGTATAAAGGCTGAGTATGTCCTTCTGTAGACCTTAAGTCATCTTGGGATCACTGGCAATAAATGTTATATAATAGATGCTATACTATGCTGAGAATAATTATAAGGAGAAAGTCTGTCCATGCTCAGTATAGACATTTTTTCTGAATATTTCCTGAAGTTTCCTGAATATTTCCACATATGCAGAACTGACAGATACCCAGAGCCAACTGGACCTAAAACACAGGCTTCAGCAGTGAAAGATTTCAGTTCAATAGCCTAGAGGAGTCTGCTTGATGTTGCCAATTCAGGATGTGTTAAGTCATATTTAAGCTTATCTGGTACTTCAGAGTTTACAAATCTTTCAATTATCTGCTTCTATTGAAGGAGCAATTCAAATCATCCTTAGCCTACTCTAGGAGGCAGTATGTTATCAATTAAAAAGGCAATAGCCCGGGCGGTGGTGGCACACTCCTTCAATCCCAGCACTCAGGAGGCAGATCTCTGTGAGTTCGAGGCCAGCCTGGTCTACAGAGTGAGATCCAGGACAGGCTCCAAAAGCTACAAAAAGAAACCCTGTCTCAAAAAACCAAAAAAAAAAAAAAAAAAAAAAAAAAAGCAATCGCACCTAAGATTTACTGAGCACTTCCTCCATGTTGAGCCTTGATCTAAGCTCTGCATACACCACACTATTTATTTCTCACAAAAAGTCCATGAGAAAGGCACCTGTGATCTCTGATTTATACGCAAGGACCTAAAGATAGCTCAGCCAGCTTCCTTGAGGTCAAAATGCTAGCACAGTTGGAGTCAAGGTTCAGAGCCAAGATGGCTGACCCCACTGCGGGATCATGGGCACATGTTTGTAGATCCCTCTTGGTACACCTCCCTCTACCATACAAAGGGGTGTCAGCATCCCAGAGGTCAACCGTCCTACTACATCCTAGGTGTCTGTGGAGAGGATGTGTGTCTTCATGCCCTCCTGGTGATGTTCAGACAGGGGTAGATATAAGAAAGAGGAGGTGCAAAGTGACTGACCTTTGGCAGCTGTACACTAGGAAAAGGCATGTGTGTGTGTGGTCCAGAGGCCTCCATCTCACATGATCCTAGCATGGGGGTTCTAGGGAACAACCTCAAAAGGACACATAAGTTGGGGCACTATCTTGGACACGCGTGTTCTCAGAATATAAGAGCTAGGAGGTCCTCTAGGAATCTTGATGTATTAATCCCTCATTCAAAGAAACAGACTGGAGGCTGGGTCTTTTGACCCCTAGGCCTGGTCTTTTCTGGTAATCATGCTGCCTTTTGCTGTGTTCACATGACTTTCACGGCTTCCCAAATGCCCAGATCCTGAAGGAGGAAAGTGGTGGAGATCTTTCAGACCCTCATTTAAATGCAAAAGATAACAGAGAACTTGGAAGTCAATAGCATCCATAAGGAGACATGCTTTATAAGGCATCAAGATCAGCTGTTAGGAAACATTTTCTCAGAAATGCAGTCCAGGTGTGCCTTGATCCTCGGTTAGGGCCAACCCAAGGCACATTGACCTCTGCCTGCAGCATCTCCTGGGCCAATCTGTTACTAAGACATCTAAGAAAGAAGGGACATTCTACAATTTGTTTGATCACCCACTGGAGTGACTTATGATCTCCATAGAACTTAATCTCTATTTTCACTTGCTCATTTTTCATGTCTATAGGCTATCTTGTCCCAACTAGAATGTAAAGTCCTGAGGTAGAACCTCACCTCATTCCCTTTACTAGAGCACAGATAGATTGCCATCAGGTGTCACTGTATATCTGTATGCATGCATGAATGTGTAGATGGATATGGTTGAATAGATGGATAGATGGAAGGGTGAATGGAGGAATCCATGGGTAGAAGGTGGCAGGGAAAGAGATGAAAGAGAGAGGAAAGGATGGAAGGAAAGCAAAATGGGGAAGATATAATTAGTTCTACTGCTTTTGATCTGATGACACTATTTGGAGTTAAGGAGAAGTTATATCCTTCGTCATTAAATACTTCTTATGTTGCCGTACTATATTAGGTACTCTATCGGGAAATACTACAGCATATAAGACATACGCAGTCTAATAGAATATACTCCATGGTGGGAACATGAACAATGTTACTAGCTACTATCACAGGAAGTGGGAAGAGCTGTGATGTGGGGAGTGTAGGCACTATAGGAAAACTTCCTGGGAAGTGATAGCTAAACCAAGCCCTGAAGAAGGAGTGGTTGTTATCTGTATGAACAGGGCTCAAGGCTCAGGGCTCAGGGCAGCGATGGGTGGTTTAGACAAAGAGACATTAGCTCAAGAGAAGCAGGAGCTGAACAGAGCTGAGGAATAACTGATGCACAGAAAAATAGCAGGTGACTGGTCATCAGAGCCACTGCCTTACCCTTCCCCTCCTCACTCTGCTGTCCCTTTAGTGGACATCTGTTGTTTTTCTCTGCCTGGGATCATCTAGTCCTCCTCCAAGAACAGCTTCCTGATTTTATTTGAGGAAACCCCCAAAATTCCCCTCCATTATTCTCAGTCCCATGGAGTTCACGGGAAACTGACATGACCTCCAATCCTGGCAGTAGCCATGAGAGAGCCAGGCCTGGCCAATTGGCAAATACCATTTCAATCCGGTCATCAGGATGGAGGCTAACGATCTAAGGCAGACTAATTAGATGCTACCCTACAGATCTTATGTGAAATATCGAGAAGAGTGTGGCACTGTGGTATTAGGAGGGTAGGAGGTCAAGCGGGGGTAAACTCAATAGGAGACGCCCCCACAGAGGAACACTAGAGGGAAAGGAGAAGCTACACACTGGCTCCCAAATAAGGAAGGGAGGAAGGAAGGAAGGAAGGATGGATGGATGGATGGATGGATGGATGGGTAGGGAGATGGATGCACAGTGAATGGGTACATTACAGATGATGGATGGATGAGCAGCTGTGTGCCAGGATTATACCTGATGCCCTCAAAATATCATAGTATAGATGGCAGAGGGACCCTCTGTCCTCAACATACACACTGTATTGATGAGCTGGACCATGAAA